TTGCTCAGGCATTCATAATCAAGCGCTGATTATTGAGAGTGGCGTGAAATTAGCCAACTCAATTTCCTTATCGCCGCCGCGGCCCAGAGGAAAGCGCTACGGCAAACGAGAACCCATTTGGCAGCGGGAATGAAGTTGTCGGAGCTTCGAGATTTGGGACATTCCCTGGACCTAGCAGTGAGCGAGGCTGTAGAAGACGAGTCAAAGTATTTAGCGGCGGATATGAAAAAGGCTCTTTCTGTCCAAAACGCTTCTTGGCCACACATTCCAGTTGGGTCCTTGCTGACGTCTGTAAAAGCTGGCTGCATGATGGGATGCTGGGGAAAGGTGGGGAGCGCTTGTTAACCAAACTTGTGCTCCATGTCTCGTCCATATTCTGCTCCGTGTTTTTACAGCGCCCTTTTTGAATATGCAAATGTAATCGTTTTTTAAAGACTTCTCCATGAAGAAGGGAGCTCATGTCAGCCTGTTGATGCCGCAGCGCTCTGCGACTGACCACCCCTGTGGCAGTTCTCTCACTTTTGTGGAAAACGGTCTCCAGTTAATGACTAGAATCAAACCAGTAATGGAGCGGTAATCAGCATGACATTTTGGCGCTTTCTCGCAAGAAAAATTGACAAACTGGACAACCTGTAATTCTCTTATTCTGCTGAAGTAATTTACTGGCACTTTAATGATGGGTTTGAGCTGAAGTGATGAGGTACAGTACGTACCTCATGTATAGTCTTTAGGACTGCGCGCGCAAAGTATATTATTACTTTTATTGCATATGATCTGTGGTAATGACAAAACACATGGGCGATTAAATGGGGCTGCCCAAGATGATCGGACGTTAATTAGGCTGGATTAATACTGCTCTCAGAAGTTTTTCTGGCCAACATGGGCAGTTAGCACTTCTACAAAGTGTAGCCAAATTGTAGTGCTGTGATGATACATGTTACAGGGGATTTCATGGTTAAATTCATGGTCACAGTTAAGAGCTAAACAAATCTAACTCTGTTGATTCCTTATAATAATAACCCCTAATTTTAATTATGCTAATCACGAGAGATCGCTCACAACTAAATGAACTAAATAAATGATCTAGACTTCCCTAGGTAGTGTTGATCACAGCATTATGAGTCTGTGTAATCTTAGTCTTATATCCCTTCGTTATAACATTACAGGCCTTTTTTCATGGGTGTGCAAAGACTGTCTACATCCTAAATGCAGAACTATGACACTGGTATTTTCATGATGGTGCAGAGTGTTAGAGAGTTAGAGAGAGTTAGAGAACAGCCATCTTTCATATACCTTATAGAGCTCAACAGCCAAATTAAAGTGGAATTTATGCATAATTCAGTTGTCTAGCTGTAAACATAGTCATTCAGCTTGGTGTGAAGTGCTCCATTCTAGAGAGATTTAAGTGTCTAAAAGCTACCGCATTGTTCATAAAGGTGGTGATAGGAACCAGACGTCCAAAGCCTCTAAATGCCACCTTATAGAAAGTTATTGCACAAGCTGTTCACAAATACATTGTCAGATGCCCGAGATGTTGTTTTATGATAGTTTTGCTGCAGATTTCTGGCCTAAAGCAGTGGTGTCCAGTCTTATCTGCAAAGGGCTGATGTGGTTGCAGGTTTTCTTTCCGAACAAGTAGGGGTACAGCTGATTCCACTTGTTTAATCAATTTCTCAGTCTTCAAAAAACTGATCTTGTGAGCTCCTGCTCTGTTGGAATGAAAACCTTTTTCAGGTAAGATTGAGCGCAAAACCTGAATTTGATTGTAGACATTGTCCCCCTGCTTTCTAGCACCACCACTGTAAAGAAATGAGTTGGTGGAATGTGCAAAAAAAAACCTTTAACTGACCACAAACCACAAACTGCTCTGCATACTTTTGTAGCAACTGGTGCAAGGTTGGACAAGCTGGAATGGACCATGGAACTGAAATGTATTATGGTCAAAATAGGTCTCGGGAGTGATGAATCATGCTTCAATATCTGGCAGTCTGATGGACGAATCTGGGTTTGGTGATGCCAAGAGAACGCTACCTACAAGAATGCATAGTGCCAGCAGTAAAGTTTGGTGGAGGAAGGATAATGGTCTGGGGCTGTTTGTCAGGGTTTGTAGTTCATGTAGTTGCTGAATAGTAAGCCTTCGTGTGTAATAAGCCTGGGATTTTAAGGGATTAATGCTACAGTGTACAAAGATACAAGGACATTTTAGACAGTTACATGCTTCCAACTTTGCAACAACAGTTTGGGGAAGACCCTTTCGTGTTCCAGCATGACTGAGCTCCAGTGCACAAAGCGAAGTCCATAAAGACATGGATTGATGAGCTTAATGTGGAGGAATTCCAGTGACCAGACCTTCTCATCCAACATCAGTGCCTAATCTCATCAAAGCTCTTTTGACTGAATGGGCACAAAATCCCCACATATTTAGACACATTCCAAAATCTTGTGGAAGGCCCTTCTAGAGTAGTGGAGGCTCTTATAGCTGCAAAGGGGGGTCAACTCCATATTAATGGCTTTGGTTTTGAAATGGGATGTCCAGCAAGCTCATATAGGCGTGATGGTTAGGTGTCCACATACTTTTGGCCATATAGTGTATGTACGTGATTTAGAAAAGAAGGTGCCGTTGGCTATCCATGCTGATATTGTCACACTCTGTCTGACAGGGACTTTCATGGTATAAACACATGAATCCCAATAAAGTACTGTTGAAGTGCTGCATGTGTGAATGACATGAAGCCCAAACATTACTGAAAAAAGTATCCCAATACAATGTAATTCAGAAAAGTTTAGTCTACTTAAGTTTTCAAGGCCCAGCTTTTTAGAATTTACTCTACCTAAGAAGTTCTCTTAAATTTAACCAAAGCTTTTTCTCTTTACAGTGTATTGTCCTGGGTTTTGAAAAGAGCTAGCTCAATAGTGCAGCATTTTAAACTGGAAACTCAGTTATTTAGCGACCCTGAACAACAACTTTTCTTTGGGTTGAATAGAGTTTTGCCAGTGTTCTTTAAAGCTTGTCCAACCTCAGAGCAGTTGATAGAAAAGAATGCGTATGTGATCAGAGCATGGGTAGATCAGCTAGATTCTTATGTGCAATGAGTCTTAACTAGTTCCACCCTTACTTCATACATATATATCCAGGGTAAAAAAGCCTAAGCGTCACAATTTTCAAACCTTATTCTGCAGAGTATTTTCAGAGACACAGCTGTTATTTCTACTGGCCTTTATTGCATTGCACACACTCGATTTTGAAGACTAATATCTTGTGAATGTTCTGCTCCACCTAATATTCTGTGGCTTAACAGAGTAATGGAATATGTTATTATGAGGAGAATGAGGTGCCGGTACAGGCGCAGTGTGCACCTCTCTCTCCTCTTTAGTGAACCGTTCTTCACTGCTCGCGTTTGGACGTGGTGCGTAGCGCAGCTGTTTAAGAGGTATGAAATGATAGCGCTTATGATTGCATAGCGCTTAGCGCTTATGATTGCACCCTGCATGAAAATACCACGTCTTTTGGACAGGCCTAAGTTATGAACCTTGCACCATGAAAACAGGGCCCTTTAGCTTTCCCCTGCAGTGCTAGTAGCGGAGACTCCATAAATAATGGCCCCAGAACCTTGACAGTTCACAGACTAAACGTTCATGATGGAGTGCAGTAGACCTCAGAGGTCGTGTGTCATTTTGTAGTTGGCGACATGCCCAATGAGGAAGTCCTGGTCTAAGCTGGCTTCCTCTATAAGAGAAAAATGCTTGGCATTTTGGAAACTCATGCAATCGCATGCATGAGTAAATATGTTTTGCCCTTTGATGTTTTGCCCTTTGATATGCTTTGCTGTATGTATTTTTCCCACAGATGTTAAAGGATCCTCTGAACAACGTCAAACCTATAGTTGTATGCAAAGTGTGAACACATCTGGTCAAAATGCATATATTTTCTAAGTGGAAATAAGAAATATGGCATTTATCTGTGAATTTCAATGCAAAGTTCAAAAACAATACAGTATAAAAAGTACCATAACTTTCCCACAGGCCACGTTTTATGTTTCATTTTCCCCCCCAACATGTTAAATTCAGCAGATAAACAGTTATTGTACATTTACATGTACATATGTGGTCTGTGTTGAGGATGTCTACTTTTTTCACTTAGAACATCAACAAAACGTTCAATCTGACATTCAAACTTTTGTACATCTATAAATATGTACATGCAAGCTAACACTACTCCGCATTTCATTTAAATCACCAAGTTATGTAAAAACAAGCTTAATTCCAGCCTTCTCAAGTATCTTTTTGAGCAGGTAGCACGTGTGCTAGAAAAACTGCACAGAGATGTGACTTTTAATCTGTTCATTCTAAAATAAAGGATGTAGAATAAAGATAGCAAATGCAGTAGGCCCAGAAGGGGGGGGGCTCAGCTTCAGAATCCAGAGATGTCTTTGGTCCAGCTTTTTGGGCCTTTCGCAAAACCCTTTGTTTACAAATATATGGATTCATTCTGTAGTGTCCAAATTACTCGATAGACTACAACTACCATAAACAATGGAAGCTTACCTGCATTGCAGTACAGATGACTATGCTTGAGGAGATCATCAACAGTAAATGCACACAGTATTATCACACAGCACTGAGCTTCACTACCCAGAGCTACTTAAATACCATGCTTGCTGGTTTGCATGGGGTATTCCACCAGTCTAATGATGTCAGTTAAATGCGCAGACGTGTTAGCTTGCTTGTAACTTGTTTGTACTAATATTCCTATTCCGACTGCTATACACCCTGTTCAGATGACGGCCATATTCAGGGGGAAAATATAAGACGAAGCATATCAGCTTTGAAACTCAGAAGCTAATCACAGTGTGTTTATAGGTGCGATTTTCAAAAATGCCATTCATTTTTCCAGTAGACAACAATAGCTTAGACCCAGGGCTCTTTCACTGGATAATGGTAAACTACAAAATGGCAATATGATCTCAGATGTCTTTATCACAACATCTTTGCCCCCACAGCCCAGCAAAATGCTCCTCCACCCATCCCAGCCCGGCAGCATGAGATCCTGATGAACCGGCAACAGCGCTACTTCCGTATCCCCTTTATCAGACCAGGAGACCAGTACAAAGACCCTCAGAACAAGAAGAAGGGCTGGTGGTATGCCCATTTTGATGGCCCATGGATTGCCCGGCAGATGGAGCTGCACCCAGATAAACACCCCATTCTGCTAGTGGCAGGTAAGCAGAGGAGAATCTCTTTCATCCTCCATTTACTGCAATGTATATCCTCACCATCCACTTTATTAGAACCATCCACCTTATACATTACATTTACGGACAGCTGCACCTGCCTTATAGTCAACTGTATAGGTGTTCAATTACAGACCTACACAATTTAGCTGTCCTCTGCTTCATTCATCGTTGGTCAGTTTCTGACAACAGATTTATTTTAATAAATAAAATGCCTTTTTTAATAAATGAAATGTTTGCCTTGTAGACATTGTAAGCATGCCTGAGTGTAAGTGAATAGAATGGAATGGTAATTTACAGTGGTGCTTAAAAGTCCTAATAGTGGATAAAGTGTAATAGTCTGCAAGGTCACAAAGGAACCCAAGGTAACATCTAAGCAACTAAAGGCCTGTCTCACAGAGGCTAATGTTAATGTTCATGAGTCCACCATCAGGAGATCACTGAACAGCAGTGATGTGCATGACAGGGTTGCAAGGAGAAAGCTGCTGCTCTCCAAAAAGTACATTGCTGCCTGTTTGGATGAGACCAGATATATCTTTTTGGCTTAAATGAGAAGCGTTATGTTTGAAGAAATGAAAACACTGCATTCCAGCATAAAAACATTATCCCATGTGAAACATGGTGCTGGTAGTATCATGTTTTGGGTCTGTTTTGCTGCATCTGGGCCAGGACGGCTTGCCATCATTGATGGAACAATGAACTCTGAATTATACTAGGAAAATCTCAGGACATCTGGCCGTGAGCTGAAACTCAAGAGAACGTGGGTCATGCAGCAAGACAACGGCCCAAAGCATGTTCTACCAATGAACATTTAAAGAATAATATAGTTAATGGTTTGGAATGTTCTGCCAGGTCCTGACCTTAATCCTATAGAAATGTTGTGGAAGGACAAGCAGTTAATGGGAGGAAACCCACCTACATAAGAGTTGAAGCTGTTTCCTATGGAGGAAGCCGATTTGCAGGACTAATTAACTGTTACAAGAAATGTTTAGTTGCAGTTATTGCTGCACAAGTGGGTCACACCCGATACTGAAAGCAAAGGTTCACATACTTTAGCCGCTCACAGATATGAAATATTGGATAATTTTCCTCAATAAATAAATGACCAAGTCTAATATTTTTGTCTCATTAATTTGGTTCTCCTTATCTACTATTAGGACTTGTGTGAAAATCTGATGAAGTTCTAGGTCAAATGTATGCAGAAATATAGAAAATTCTAAATGGTTCACAAACTGTCAAGCACCACTATAAGCTATATAAGATTTACTGTGTGCCAACTTCACTAGATAGCCTCAATTATATGCCTGTTGCTACTACAAAAAATTTTAATAAGCAGGCATTTTGGGGCCATCCAAGCATTCCCTTGATCCCCCTAATTAAGGCTTAGCCCCACATCTATAAATCTCTAGTGATGGCCTGATACCTAGAATGAAATACTAACTGCTATGAAACTCACATGCTATGCAGTTACGAGAGGCTGAGAGGTCTTAAAGGTGCTTCGATCTCTGTGTTTGTAGGTAAGGATGATATGGAGATGTGCGAGCTGAGTCTAGAGGAGACCGGCTTGACCCGTAAGCGGGGAGCGGAGATCCTTCCCCGTCAGTTCGAGGAGATCTGGGAGCGCTGCGGAGGGATCACGTACCTGAGGAACGCCATCGAGACCCGGCAGGCGCGGCCCACCTATGCCACCGCCATGCTCCAGAGCCTGCTCAAGTAGACCTCCTGGAATGCTGACACACATGCAACCAACACTTAAGGCACTGCCAAGCTAGAGTGTGCTCAAGTAGACTCACCTGGACACGCACTCGTAATCCAGTCTTTCTAGATCAAAGGGAAGAACGCAGTTCCTAGCATAGTCCACATTCAGAGTACAGTAGGACTCACTTTAAATGACTGTTGTCTCTCAACTCGTCAGTGAACTGGGTTTTTTTTTATTGCTAGTTGTCACTCGCATTGGTCTTTATTGTTTAATTTCTGTCTGATACTGTTTTCTCCTTTAAATTCATGATTTACAGTGAATCAATAGAATTCAATATTGTTTTTTTTTCCCTTTTTTTGCATTTGACATTGCTTTTCCTTGCACATTTTTCCTCAGTACTCTATAACTACAACTAAGAGGCCTTAATAACTGTAATAATTGCCAGGGTGATTCTTTCTAAGCTGCCTCTCAAAGCATTTTTTTTGTATATTATGTGAGAAATATTGATAAATAATAGCTCAGTTATTCCAGTAGGAATGTCCAAACGTCAGAAGTGCTTCTCTCTCGATTTACGGTGTAATCGTAACATCCTAAAAGACTTCACTCCTATATATTTGCTTAAGTGAGATTTTTAATCATTCCATTTTGATATGACACTCATAACTACTGATATCGTGTTGAACTGGAAAAATACATTTTCATAAACCTCTACAGTTTCAGCTTTGCACAATATATACAAGTACAATAATGTAGTTGTTTGTTGATTATTTTCATTTGTCATTGAACATTTGCACTGAGAAGCGAAAGGTTGGAGAAAATCACACATCCATAGTTCAGATTTGAAATCCTAAAGATGCACTATATTTTTCTGAGCAGTTTTTTTCTAAAACCTACCTGTCCCAGCTGTACCTAATGCTCTTTCAGCTACTACTGAATGTACAGAACCTTTGAAATTGCAGTTTCTTTCCCTTTTACACACAGTTGTCAAAGCTAAAATTGAGCTACATTATATTGCAGCGATCAGCTTTATTCGTACTTGTTCCTCCCTTTCCTGATTTTTCTGTGCTTACCTACACTTCAGCTACACCTGGATTCTTAGTGATTTTCCTTAACGTTGGAAAAAATCTTAATGATGTGTGTGAATAATAGACTTTTTTTCTTATTGTCATTAAATCGAGGATGAATTCTGGGTAAAGAAATTTATGCAATACTTGATTAACCAATATTACAAACAAGTGTCGAATTATGGGTGGTTTGGTTGCTGTCGGACCAAATATGTATGCTAGCAAATACGTGATGACTCTTGGGGGAAACGCAACTTTGTACAAAGCTAAATAACATCCTTAGCTGCTGTGTGCATGACCTCACGAACCGAATAAACTCGGTGTTCTTCCCATCCTGTTCTGTTTCAGTGCACTCATACACCCCATACATATGCAGTACAAGATGCTTTATACAGTCGTATACAAAGTTTGAACAGCCCCACTCAAATTATGTTTTGTTGATTTGAACAAATTAAAATTTGGCATTTTCTGCTAATTTTAGTGCAAATAAAACATAGAATATATAACAATTTTGGCACAACTTTTAGCCTCATTTTATGTTCTATTTTATTTCCTTTATATTAAATCAGCAAAAAAACAATAAAAATGTGTTTCTCTATAGAGGGTGTGTTAACTTATTGTCACTTAGAAAATCAAAAGGGACGCCCAGACTTTTGAAAACGACTGTCTATATCATTGCTGTCATATTAAAAGCTCTCAACTCAGATTTTTTACATTATTTTTGCCATTATTTGATAACGCCAGGTTGAATGGGTCAATAGAAAAGTCCAAAATTACTTGTTTTATTAACGTATATTTAAAAAATGTTCTCCTGTAAAATTTACCTTTCTGTGATATGATATGTAAGTATGATTATAGGGAATAATGTATGTACAAAAGTGTACCGGTATATTTTCATGATTAAATGAATATAGACTTACTTTCCAAAGCCATTGGCAATCTGCAACCACATGCACATGTAAATGTATAGCTAATGACAGTGATAAGCAGTGACTACTTGGACAGCAGATGAACACTTTAACACAAGGTCTGTGTTCATAAGGCTACACGACTCATATATAAGCATTTCATGACAAGACATGATCCCACATAGACATTTATAAAGGCTTATGTTCCGACATGCATCATCATAAAAACTGCATTTGTCAACTTTAACGTCAAGTAACTGAGTTTCACTCACACTTTCTGTGGTGATATGGCACATAATGATGTGACACCTGATGTCAGCAAGAAGCAAGACTCTATGACCCTGTTTACACCTGGTGGTTTGATGTATTTGGATTGGGCCCTGATTAGATTTTAAGCTCATGCATTCACACTTGGTAATCAAATGTGATTCTGGTCAGTCAGAATGAAATCCGATTGCTGTTTGGCGTGTAACACGCAAATCAGCTCACATACAACCATCGTTGTTCCTCATTTTTCCTGTCCGATTTAAAAGGTTGCCGCCTCGAAAATCAGTTTATCCTGGTATTTTATAACTTTGTCATCGCAGTCATTGACCATGTGCATTAATACAGAATGTAACATAGCAAGATGGTGAATAATGATGAGGCGAAGTCAAGATTAACCAAACTGGCACTTCATTTTTAGGCCACTGAAAGCTACAGAATTAAACTCGCTGGAGAAACTCCTCAGACCACCTCCTGAAGTGGACTGAGCGATCAGGTTTAATCTTTCTTTAAATGCATTTTTATTTGAATAGTCAATATAATACTGATACTCAAAACTAGGGGATGCCCAATCCTGGTCCTGCAGATCTACCACCCTACAGAGTTCAGATCCAGCATAACTGACTCTAATATTCAGGTGTCCCTGAACACCTTCAGTACCTCAATCAGGTGTGTTAGATTAGGAGTGGAGCTAAACTCTGCAGGGTGGTAGATTTCCAGGACCAGGATTGGGCACCCCTGCTCAAAACCATTTAACAGCCGGGTCTAAGTCACGACGTTGGTGTTACATCAGCTTGAATTGGAATTCCACGGATTTTATAAGTGTTTGCATAATTAAAATAAGATGTAGAGTCATTCAGAGTGGTTTGATGTGGAATGCTCAGTTCTAGAGAAACTGACGGTCAGAACTGTCCATAAGAACCAGATGTCTGAAGCTTTCAATGCCTCTAAAATCTCCCTCACAGAAAGTTATAAGTTGAAATTGTTCTGAATATGTTTGTTGATATCTGAGACATTGTTCTTTTGGGCTAAAACTTGATAATCCATTCATGGCGGAGGCACAAGAGAGACATAAGCAAACATATTTCTTCAGATTCATTTTGTTCCATTATAATAAACATTACATATCAATCTAAAAGGCGTGTAGGTTCACTGATTGTTTTGAACAGTAAATGGCTATATTTGCATTGGCATTGAGACCCTGGGTCTTATCACCACCACTGAAAATGACTTTAGATCTACACAGGTAGAAAAATCTGTGGAATTCCCATTTGACACTAGAATTGACAAAAGCAGCCTTTATGATGGAGGGATTCCTGCTGGAATAAATCTTTATAGATTTTTATGAAAGGCTTATGTACATGTGACGTGGCCCTATGAACACCGGCTTTATCCCTTTCACAAGCCACTGACGGGCCCAAAGTTCTATTACACACTTCTATGACCTAAGAAAACTCCCTTATTATGCATTGAAGCTCCTGTAGTTACTGAATAATAAGGCTTTGTATGAAATAAACCTGGAATGTTAAGAGGTTAAGTATTACTGAATATTCCACTCAACCAACAGGCCATTTGGAACTGTTGGTTATGTGTGATCGTGTTTCCTCTTGTATAAGGGCTAATAAAATAGCTAGTAGAATAAAATTCAATAGAATGCTTCTATTGAATATAAATGAATAAACAGATGGACATAACGTCATTGCTGCTGATGCTGAAGAAGCCTCCTCTATTGGAACTGGAGTATTTATGGACAGCCCTGCGATGGACTGGCAACCTGTCGAGGGTGTTCCCTGCCTTTCCTGACCACTGGGTTAGACCCAGATTGATGGACAAACACAAGTGACCCCATAACGCCGACTTAAGTTTTTAACAGCAGCCTCTGAGGAAATGAACAAGTGAATTACTGAAACTGGATTGGTGAGCAGAGTGTTGGTGGAAATATGTCTGAACACAAAAGACTGCTTATCAGAGTATGTACAAAAACAAAGTGGTCAGACAATTGTTTTGTCCTGCATATCTCTTGAAGAACAAGGAACGACAGCCTTTAAATTTAAATTGGAAAAATAGTTTTAATTTTCACGCCAGTGCAAAGTTTATAAAAGAAAACAAAAATGATCATCCCCGCTACGTTCCCATCAGCATCGCAATCCACGACTATACACAATGAGGCTTTGAAACGTAACAATGACTGTATTCCGACGTCGAAAGAACAATTAACAGCAAAAAGCCATTAACTCTAACAATGTAAACCAAAGAGCCTAGAGCAATTGCACAATCCTCAACTGCAGCTAAGAATAATTAATGGAGATCACTATCGAACAAATGTAAATGACTCAGAAAAGACGTTTGATTCTTTCGCAATACGACTTGAATGTTGGCTCCACTGTTGCCAGACTAAGGTACTATTTTTAAGACGATTAGAAAACCAAAGCACACCACAAAAAAAAAAACACAACATTTTTGTTCGAGAACATTGAAAGCAAGTTAACAACTTTTGAAGACATCATTATGGGGCTCTTCTCAGGACGGACAGAACAATGATGGCCTCATTGTGAGGAAAACAATAGCTGAAAGCCCTCTTTTCCCATCTGTGAGCAGTCCCTTAATGTCCCCACCTTGACCAAATTGATGTCATCCCCTTTGACTTCTGTTCCTTTTCGCTGATAAGTACTTCACGACTTTGTGTAGTCGCTTGAAAATGTGAAATACCCTCCCACACTCCCTAAACATAAACCGCTCCGGCGTCATGCTTTGTGAATTTCAGAGGAAATGCATATGCAGCAGTCTGTTACTGTAGAGCACTGAAACGGCAGCTTTCTCCAGGGCTCAGAATGAAACGGTTCATTATCAGTGTTCACATTCCTAACACTCTCTTTGGTCTTCGACAAACATATCATCAAGTCTTGTACTCATTCGGCAGTCTTGGTTCTGTGAAGAAGACAAAAAAAGGTTACATTTATTTAAAAAATGTTACATATTTCCTTTGGTTGTGTAATGATGCTTTACAGTTCAATGGCTGAACAGTTTCAGTCCCAAGCACAGCCACAAAGACCAATGCCTCATTTAACAGCTCAAAGATATCACTGTTCTAGCTTATTGAGAATGTTTTGGTTAATGTTTCTAGGTTTCATGGCTTTTTGGCATAGTTTACAGGAGCTTTGTTCTCTTATTTCAGTACATGAGGCCATATTGCACTGATTCCACTGCATGAACAGATGAAGTGGCAAAGTGGCTCAAGTATGGTCAGCTAATCACTTAGTGTCAAAGTCAGTCTGCTGTAATTAACTTTAACCCCTCTCTAAAACGTCTGAGTAGCCTCGCAGACTGGAAAAACATTGGGATTAGAACAGAGTAAGTTCCAAGAGTACATTCAGAGCCAGAGTCAGTAGCTTTGGGAATGTAATCACCGGACATATGCTAACGTTAGCGGATTTCCCAGGACTCCTGGCTTGAGGTAACTGTGGGGCAGTTTTGCACTAGAGCTATGAGGCTAATGTAGCTAACAAGTAATGGAGGGTCATAGCCATGAATAGCATCATGCTAACTGCATCTCTGCTGAGTTAAGTCACCTCAGATGGACTTACTTATGTGGTTTCTGACACTGTCATACTGTTATCTATAAAAGAGATACAAGGTTTTGTTCTGACAGCAGTGATATGCTTGGTTTTGTTGGTGACCAGCTGTGCTGGTCTCTGCTGGTTTTTCCAACAGGGTTTATAGATAACAGTACGCTATACAATGTGAAAAACTATATAAGAAGATCTGCCGGTGGGGTAGATTTCAACACTGCTTCATTTTCAGCCATTTGAGCTACAACACTGGGGTAAAAAACATGTATGCCTCCATGAAGGCGAGTATTGTTAGCAACACGCTAGCCAGCCAGCCAGCCAACTTCAGCAAGTGATAAGTTTAACATTCACGATGTATTTACATTCATGATGTTCACAATGTTATATAACATTAAAGTCAGTGTGATAGATTTAACCGAATGGCTGTGTCTGTATGTTGATTGGTCTAAAGCTACTATAAAGTCATTTAAAAGTAGAGAAGCTGTACTTTTACTGTTGACAGTGTGAGCAGCCATGTTGAGATGCCTTCTTATGCTAACTAACTCAGAACTCCTTTTTGACTTACCAAGTAGGATTCCACAGTTGAAGGGGCATTTTCTTTGTTTTTTTTTAGTTGGAGGTCAGAAATGCAGATACTAGCCAGAAACAAAGGTCAGTACTAGCCAGTTAAATCAGTGTTGGCTACAGCGAAAGCTCGGTTTTCGAATGTGTCACTGTGTTTTAGTTCATTTTCCATCAGTCAATTCAAGCGGTGAGCAACAAACACTGAAAACATGTCTGTGATAATCCATGTTTGAGAGCGAAGAGCGGGTTAAGGTCGGGTTCAGGTTTTGAGTTTAACCCTATTAGTCCAGTCAGGCCTGGTCGGGTCTTAAAGTCACAGTTACAGGTTGGGTTCAGGTTTAAATTTCATGTCCGTGTAGATCCATACCATTAGCCGAATGCGGCATAAGCTTCCATTTCTTGTTAGCTACATTAGCTCCAGTTGGGCTGGGTAATATGATGATAATTATCATAATCAGGGTAAATTACGTCACAATGTCACAGTATCGTTTCTGTAGATTTCATGAATATCGTCAGTACTTCTAGAACACTGACCAACAGCATGTTTAACTACAAAGTAAGCATAATTAGCCCTGTTTAGTTGGATTTAGAGCAGCGCAGAGTGTGAAATGTGCTAGTTTTCAATGGTATTTATTAGATGTGGCATTACTGGTTCTTTTTTGTCTGTTCCAGAAAATTTATATCCTTACACTGTGTATTGTGAAAATTTTGTGAAGTATCGTGATATATTTTCATCATATTGCCCAGCTCTAGCTCCAGTGCCAAACTAAAGAAACAGAAATTGGATACCAGGCAAATGTGGCTCACTGGCTACAAATTTACTTTACATTTGATTTTGGCCAACCTTTAACTGTAACGGGAATAAGACGCTAAACAGCAGAGTCTTTGCTGCTACCTGCTAGCTACACTATCATTTATCAAGCAACTGATCTTCAGGAACCATAGCCTACATAATTCAACCATCCACTTTGGATCAATCTTAAGGATTTGAATTGAGCAATAAGTCAAATCTCTGCCTATGAGACTGATGGGTTTTGAGTTCCTGAGAGCTGTATTGGTAATCTTAGCAGATATTGGCAATATTAAGGAAAATACCAGAACAAAGTGCTGCCTTGCGGCATCCATACCTCATTGAGAGCTATAACACTGTCGAGATCTGCTGTCTATGATTAACTTGTCAGACCTGGCAGTGTGGTGGAGTCACGGTTTCTATAAAAGAGATGAATGCTCCATTAGAGGGAATGCTAGCTTTCCCAAAACAGAAATAGAAATGCGTAAAGTGTGGAATAAAGACAGAGTTCAGGAACAGAAAAGGGAAAAAATACAGTGTCAACAGTACATTATCCCAAGGGGACAATCACAGGGGGGTGAAGCACGACAAGAGGACTTCTGTAAAGAAGATAAATTAGTATGGAATTCTATATACAAAACAATGTTGTTGGAAAGTCCATGCTTGAGCTTTTTTGCAGTATCCTCTTTTGGGAAAAAAATCCTTTTTTTTTTTGTAGATAATCTTAATTAAGTCCAATTTTCATGACATGTGAACCTGATGTCCGCGTTCATTACATTAACCCCATAAATTCCCAGTTTTGTTACATCTTAAGGCCTGTTATACAGTAAATACAATGCAAACTGTCCAAATTATTCCCAAATTTAAGGAGTGAGGAATAGGAATGGACGCATGGTCCTGCCTGGTCATTTAAGGGGTAAATGTTTGTATTAACAAAAATGCTTTTCACTCTATCACAGGTTGGACTATTAATAACTGAACTAGCCCTCGTCGGCTAGTGACCGTCTACAGAGATGAGGATAAGCCGCTTCCTTTGGGAATGCTATCTGGAACAGCGGACCAGAGACGTCCAACATTGTGCTGTTCTCCTGCTTTAAAGCTTTCGCTCTGATTACTTGCTGGAGGATTATACAGGACATGTGAAGAGTTCAGTGGGTAATCCAGAGAGGCTTGACCTGGCCATGTTAGCCTCATCCTCCCATCCAAGAAAGGATACTGTTACATGGGCTTTACCTTTAAAACCATTCAAAAAGGAACAGAGCAACACTGAGGAACGAGAAAACAGAGAAAGTAGTTCTGCATTCTTGATAAATGTGATAAGACCATCACGAAATGAGAAAAGTGTGGCGGTGTAGAAATATTAATTCATTTTCAGGAGCAATTCTTATAAAATAACCAAAAAAAAGATATTTTTAAGATGATTAAGTCCATAAAAGCCATGATGGGGAAACTAGTGTATTCTGCATATAGGGTGAATTCGGAAAAACAGGCTCGTTCACAACATATCAAAACTTTCTCAACACTACATGGGACCTTATAGGATACATACTGTCCAGTTTATCAGAGGGGCAAAAGATCTTTTATTACTTATTAAGTATTGAAATAATATTTTTAGAAATCTGACACCGATAGTTTCATTATTATTTTTTGAAGTATAAGAGAAATACCTTAAGAATTTCAGGGGTATTTTAGTTACACAGCTAAGCAGTTTAAAAGGGAATTCCATTTTTTGTCTCAAAAATTGTCCCTGTGTTGGAACGTGAGGTAGGCACTGGACAGCCGTTGCAACATTTAACCTCCGTTTGCAACTTCCGGGTGCATAGCCCCGTACCCCCTCATGTGCCTGGCAGAAAATGGAGATGACTTCCAGCATCGCATGTAATGTAATCGATTACACATACGTCAAGGTATGTAGCGTATTTTTTGGTTCAGATTGCTTCATCCTAACGGGAGTTACAACAGAATATTTGGGGCCTGTTTCGAGTGAATCTCCCTGTATATTGTCAAGATTCAGAATGGTTTAATATGGAAAGCTGCGCTCCAGATAAAAGCATTTGTAATTGTTCACAGTGGTGGTGATAGGATAGTGGTGGTGGTGATATATCGCTGCTGTCGGACCAAAATCTCCAAAATGGTAACATTACAGGAGAAAGAAAAAACTTACTTTTAATGTAAGTCAATGGAACCAGACATTTTTCCAAGTAATTTTGGGTCATTTCCTTTGGTTCATTAGTTTTGAAATTTACAGACAACGTAAAGGATAGCCTGTATTTTAAAATTATGTCAAAAACTGAAAAACAACAAAAATGGAGATACGAGGTTTCGGTCCGGCATATATGTGTGTGCATATTTATGTATATATGCTGTATTATGTCAAATGTGTTTATTAAAATACATTTACAGTACAGGGATTTCTAAAGATAAGTAATAGTAACCTTATTTTTTTTCAGATTATCACTATTTTTCTATTATCGATATGGCATATAACAGCTCAGAAGGCCCGTGTAGGTTCACTGGTTGGATAGTAAATAAATCAGCTATATTTGCTATATAGACATTGCAACCCCTGGTTCCTACCACCACCATTATAAGGAACTCTACAACTCTACAGCACTCTAAATGATGCTGTTCAGATCTCAGAGACTGGATAATTGGCAGAATTCCCATTTAAGATGCAGTTGACAAATGTTGTTTATTATTATTATTATTATTATTGTGTATTATATTAATGTCCTGCTTTGCCTGTATTCACCCTACTGCACAGTCTGGTCTGATGTCATTTCAACTGTCTATTCCCCCTCATAAAGAAATGAAAAAAATGAGACATTCAAATAAGAATCATCACCTTGATATTCAGGTGAAGAACCACCTGGAACCACACTGATAATTTCTCACCTCTGCTAGTGTGCAGGTGTGAAATTAACTTCCTTACAGTTTCTGCCGTAATAATACCACAAATAACTCTGAACGCTTTAAATGAGACCTCCTGGTTTTAAAGGCAGTCTGTTCAGTGTTAGTGTTCTGGAGTTCTAGAGTCGAGGTAGGTCAGTCTCTAACAAATCCACGATGGTCACTGTGTGTAAGTGCATGAAGAACATACAACCAGATAGGCAGGAAAAAAAGTGTCAACACAGTGAAATTTGACGAAAAAAGACCTGCTTACACTAAAGCCAGTGTCTTTCTGGTCCGTACACATTTCCTGAACATAGATATCAAGAGTGCAATGATGGCAAAAACAAAGGTGAGGGCCCCCACGAGGCAGGCTAGGAAAAGAAAAGGGTCTAGAGGCACGGAGACCAACTCGGCACATCTCTCCCCGTTAAAGTGCCAGAATTTACCTACGGGACATCTAAAAGGGTCAAGAGAGACAGTTAGAGCATCAACTCATGTGATAACACGTAGAGCAGATATTTCATTAAGCTCTTCTTAGGATTTCAAAGCCTTAAGTACTGGCTCAGTGTGAGCAAGCGTGTGCTTGTTTTTCTATCATTGCGGGGTCCCGGTGTCCCAAGAGAAAAGGCCAAAGAGCAGTTACTTTGTGAATTTCAGATCCCCACAAGGCAAAGGGCTTTAACCCTTAGAAGTTAACAAGTACTTATTTTTGCTATACCACCCCACAGGCCTGCCAAAAACAGTGCTGAATGTTGTTTGACCTCTTAATTTCCACAAGTTCTACAAATTCTGCAGTTTTCCATTCCACCTTAACTGGAGCAGTGGTTACATTCTGGCACTTGTACAGGCATCTGAATGTAACTGTTGCCTTATGGTCATACTTGCTATCAGCACCAGCTGGTCCACAGCTTGCTTTCACCGCGACTGTGATATGGTCTTATGTAGCTGACCGAGTCAGGTGGCTTCTATGGTTGTACGAGGGAAAGAGAGGGAAGAATAGCCCCTTGGACTCCCCCAGATGGTTGTGACATCCAATAATACAGGGTGATCCAAAAAGATTCATCCGATTTCAAAGAGCCATATTTTTACAGCGGTGAGGCGCATAGGAACCAATCACATACCAATTGAAAGAGGGGGTCATAGAGTTTCTGACTGTCACTGGAAGATGGCTCCCTTCAGTCTGCGAGGAGAGAGACCCCTGAGCAGAAAGCGTTTTGCGTTCTCCACTTCAATAGGAGTGAATGAACTGTGCAATGTGATTTTCGTCAGCAGTGAACCTTGAACAGCTCAGTGACACCCGACATGCTCAATCGAGTACGGGATGAATTTGACTATGGCGTTGATGTGCGTACTTGTGAAATTAAATAATAAACTTTATGCTTAAACCATTTACAATTTACTGCATTGTTCTGTAATTATTTACAAGTGAAATAAATCATTTCAAAATCAGATAAATCTTTGTGAATAACCCTGTATATATATATATATATATATATATATATATATATATATTATTATTTTTCAGAAAGCATTAGGCCTTTTCTAAAGGCTTAAAAAAACTTGAGGGTCCCCCACTGGACGGGTTTGAGACTACATTACACAGATCAAATTCAAATCATGTTGACGATAACTGCAACTTCCAAGGGTTAAAACCAACAAATTGTTTTAGATTTCTAAATTTAAAGTTCAATTTTGGCTTAGGATTGTAATGATGTTTAAGTTTGCTGGCTGTAGTGACAAATCCCCCTGAGACATAGGAGCCCCCACAAAGACAGAAAAATGCGGGTATGAAAGTGAGTGTTTATTGCTCTTCTAGTGTTCTCACATGTACACAGACAAGATTTCATTTAAACAATAATGAAAAAATGTCCACTACTAAGTAAACAAGTTTGCCAACGTTACAGTCAGAAACTTGGGTGAACTATGATGTGACGATGCTAAGCAGCAAGACCCTGCGAGGCACAGACTGTCATGCTGGTTGGCATCAGCTCTGGTCAACTGAGTAAAAATTCAGAGATCTGTATGAAATTCAGTTCCTGGAGTGAGTTATATTGAAATCGCACTGTAATCTTGTTTATACCGCATGTATGGTGAGGTACCTGCAAGCTGCGCCGTGCCCAGGTACAATTTCACACTCTCCGCCATTGAGACAGAAATCAGGCTGGACGATGCAGAGGCTCTGGCAGGGCAGTCCATCCACCGTGACGTATCCTGGTTCGCACAGGCACTCGGCCTCCTTCGTCCAGCGGTTCACCACGCAGCGCGAGAACTCATTGCAGGCCAGAAACTTGCAAGGGTCAGCTTGATCACCTAGAGGAATGGGTAAATTGGATAACATTAGTATTAATGAATGGCCTCCTACAGCAGAGCGTCCATCACTTTCCTTAACGGCGCTGCTGCAGTGAGAAATTATTAAGGATAGGGGCAGGGCACTAGATTTAATGAGTACCCAGAATGCACTGCCTGTAGCGATTTGAATGAATTTCACTTTACTGTCTGCCATCTCCACACCTGTAGTTTATATAGATGAACTCTAGTATTGAACCAGTGTGTACTGTGCAAGCAAATAATCTTTAGGTAATTAAACTACAAATAAAGGCACAGAACAACCCCTAGAATAAGGTAATGCTGCAGTTCTCAAACTGTGGGCATGGTCCCATGAATTGGGGTTCTAAAGGGAGTACAGCCAAATGTTAGTAAATGTTAAAATGAAATGCATTATATGGCCAAAGGTATGTGGACACATGACCATCACACCTATATGAGCTTGTTGGACATCCCATTTTAAAACCATGGGTATTAAAATGGAGTTGACCTCCTTTGCAGCTATAACAGCCTCCACTTTACTAGGAAGGCTTTCCACAAGATGTCGGAGTGTGTCTGTGGGAATTTGTGCCCATTCAGTCAAAAGAGCATTTATGAAGTCAGGCACTGATATTGGATAAAAGGGCTGGGCTCACAATTGGTGCTCCAGTTCATCCCAAAGGTATTCAGTGGGGTTGAGGTCAGGGCTCTGTGTAGACCACTGGAGTTCCTCCACATCAAACCTGTTAAAACATGTCTTTATGGACCTCACTTTGTGCATGTCACCCCTCACTGGAACTAAGGGGGTGAGCCCAAAACCCTTAAAACAGCCCCAGACTATCCATCCTCCACCAAACTTTACTGTTGGCACTATGCATTCTGGTAGGTAGAGTTCTCCTGGGTTCCTCCAAACCCAGCTTTGTCCATCAGGCTCCCAGAGAGTAAATTCATCACTCCAGAGAACATGTTCACACTGCTTCAGAGCCTAGTGACGGCATGCTTTACACCACTCCCTCCAACGCTTGGCATTGCATATAGTGATCTTAGGCTCGTGTGCAGCTGCTCAGCCATGGAAACCCATTTCATGAAGCTCCTGATGCACAGTTCTTGTACTGATGTTGCTTCCAGAGTTAGATTTGAACTCTGTAGTAAGTGATGCAACTGAGGATAGGTGATCTTTATGCGATAAGTGTGTACATCAGTACTCACTGAATTCAATAAATAGGAGGGATGTGTACATACTTTTGGCCATATAGTGTATGTGCCAATCAATCACAATTCATGGCCATACCTTGGCTACTTAATGAGTTCATAGAACAGGGCCATGTCTCTCATACGTGCAAGTCAGTGATAGCTGCAGAGAAAGCTAGCAAAATAGACGAGTGTCTGTTTAAGACATGGTCCTTATTTATTTAGTGAAAGTAATGACCAGGTATGGAGGCCAGGGAGTGAGAGGTTGGTGAGGGTGTGGCAAGGGGGGGCCAGAAGTTATGACACGGTAAAACACAATAATAAATGTTATTAAATGACAGACTATAATCTATTTATAGCTATTTATGGTTATGTATATGTTTTTTACGAAATGACTAAGTAGCTATTTAATTAGTGAGATCACTGCTTTTTTTAAAAAAAGAGGCATTCTGGATGTACATTTTTAACATAAAAGTTCATTCTGGATGCTATACAGCTTATGGAATCATTAAAATACCCACTAATTTAAAAAAAAACATCAGTGCTTATTTATGAACTGTTCGTTTTATGAATCAGTGCTTGGTTTGCTGCTACATGCTAATTAGATTGGCTCTACAGAGAAATTTAAAAAAAAAGGATTCTTTACAAACACTGAGGTTTCTGCTAAAGCCTGAGTAGACGGATAAATCAATGTTATTTATTTCAGCATTGCAGATCAGACAAATTTGCAAGATTTTGTTATTGGAACATTGCAAATTGCTTATAGAAAATATTTATTCATAAATTTTCATTTTTAGAACAGTGTTTAGCAAAAATGAGACGTGTATTGGAAACAAGTGAAAACAGTTAAAGAAGGTACTGAACTGTGTTCCAGGGTCTGTAATATACAAATAAAATCTATATTCAATATCTAACTGTCAGAACTTTGCTCAAGTGGCATGCAAATTTGAATGAAATACATTAAGAGAAGAATCATATGAAGAAACCTGCCAAGCAGTAAACAAGTAGATATTTTTCCATATGCGTTAAGCAATATGTATTTTAAATATATTCACAATATGTTAGTTTTAGGACTTTTTCAAAGTATTCTGCCCCACTAATAATAGGCAAATTGTGCTTACCTGGTTCGACATCTAGCGAATGGCTGTCGATCTCCATGTCAAGACGCTGGGCAACTGCATTACAGAAGTCCTCCAGAACGCAGTGGACGGCTCGGGTGATGTTGTATGGCACAGACTTGGCAAATTTCATCTTGCTGTTGACCACCACGCTCCCGTTCCTGAAGTTGAGAATCTCCAGCTGCTTGAAGCCAGTTAGGTTGGACTGCAGGTACGGCAGCAGCTGAGAAGAGGACATGGACAATCTCACAAGAAGTGCTATCTTAATGCAACAACCTTGTTAGGTTGATTTCTGTCCTTGGCTTTGACCTTTGGACCCTTGCTTAAGTGCCTGTCTGTTTTTGTATAACAAAGTAGAAGCTAATATCACAGCAGTAGAACTAAGTGGAGACATGTTATAATAAGCTTCTGGACAGGAAATATCTCCTAAGGATCAAGATTTAATGAGGTCTTGGGAGCACATGATTCACCCACCGTAGCCCATTTTAACTTAAAAATAGTCTTAGCGAGAGAAAGAACCACCAGCGACACTGGATTTAACACAGGGAGCGCTATAATGGCCTGTGGACTGTAGATAATCAACAGGAAAGCAAACTGTTAAGTCAAAGTTTTGGGTCTCTGCTCGGTTTGAGGATTTGTGGGTTTTTAGCATTAAGGCTTTGTCTTCAATTACAGGACACACTATACTTGTAGAAGGCAGAAAAACAAGGCCTTCTTATAATGAGCTCTCGTTTCCAATGCTCACAATGCATCTTCAAGTGCAGTACTTCAAAACTCATTTCCCTCCAAAAAAAAGTCTGAAATTTTGTCTGCTTGAAAAAATAGAACTCCTGCTGAGAAAAAAAAAAAAGTGATGCATGCTAATTTGTTGCCTTTGTCATTAAAACAGTGTTCTGCGCTGGAGTGAACGTGTTTGATTTATTCGAGGCAGAGGCATTTGAGTGGTGTTTTTTTTTTCTCACCCCAGGGCTGGCAGGAAACAAGCAAGCTCTGAGAGATGCCTTTATACAAGATATTAATGAGCCTATCTGGAGACCTCAGTGGCAGACAGCACTTTGAATCTGTGGATTTGCCCTGTGACAGGGGTCATTCAGGATAGTGCTGCTTTGAAGTGAAAGATCTCGCACTGCTGCTGCTGTTTTCCATAAGTGATGCTACACTCTGCTCTCACATAGAGGTCTTTTTTCCCAGTTGTGCTGTTTGTTGATGAGTCATGATTTCAGTTTAGACCTGTGTGCAGTACGTCAAGTGCAATTATAGCTCTGCTTGGAAGATTTTGTACTGAAAATGACAAAGTAAACACTCTGCTATGCTATATGTACTTCCAGTGCATACATCTACTTCAAATCTACACACTTGTAGTCTTGTGAACAAAAAGTATTTTGCCTATTCATAAGCACAAAAAAGATAGGATTAAAAGGTAAAGCCGTTTTTCGGCAATTACAGCTCCAAAACATCTACGGTAAGACGTAACTGCCTTTTTGGAGCATTATTTTGGCTCATTCTTCTGGGCAAACCAGCTTCAATTTCACAAGGTTGTGAGGGTCCCTCTGATGGACTCTCAATTTTAAAATTCTCCATAAATTTGAAGTGGGACTTAAGTCAGGAGATAGGCCTTGATGTGTTACTGATACTCTATTAAGAGTTTATCAGTCATTTACAAAGGATCACTCAAAATAAAGTGTTACTGAAACGTAATGCCCCAGTACTGTTTGCAGAGAACCAGTCCCTTATCAAGCTCCCATATCAAGATGCTCCCACCCTCGTACTTCAATGTGGATTCACAGACAACCCTTCTTTCTCCAAACATGACGAGCAACCAGAGTACATTGTTCGAAAATAGCTCTGACTTGACAAAATGCTTGTATGCACTCTTCAGCAAATTTCCATGAAGCTTTGTGTGGGATGTAGAAATGGAGATGATTGCGGTGCAGTTCAGTGCTTTTTGTTCTCTGTGTAACTTTTGCTGCTGCTGCTTTTAGATCATCCTGCAACTCTTTTCACGTGACTGCTGGCTTCTCTCTAATCATTATTCTTGGTTTAAGAACCTTCCACTTGCATTTGATCAAACCAGTTGTACTGACAGGGATATTTAACGTCTCCGTAGCTTTTCCATGCATGTGTTGTTTGATAATCTTGGCCCTGAGAAAATTAGGAATTTCTTTCACCTTTTCCATGATTGCTACTGGTTGCATGAAATCTTTTCAACCAATGACAAAGCATTTATAATGACACCAGGTGCAATTTGTGTGTATATGAGGTGGATATGTACACTGAAAGTACTTTTTATTAAATAAACTCCTCACTATACATATTTATCTCTAATTCTACTAGAATATAGAGTTGTCATCTCTTGTAAACTTGCATCTTACAATAGTGCAGTGGTCGTCTTAGAGGGGGATTCTTTTGTTCTGAAGGCGTATCTTGAAGGTGGGAGGATGTTTAAAAAACTACATCTGCTTTGGGGTGTTTTATTTTACATGGACAGCCTTTTTTATTTTGGGTAAAGCAGAAGAAAGGCAGATAGCAGATAATAATACTGCAGGCCAAATATCGTATTTCAACTGTACAATTATGGTCTTCAATTGATCGTAACAATTGAGAGAATGGATTACTCAAATAACAGAAATGACTCACCAGATGAACAACAAGAACAACAAGCTAAATGCTAAAGTTAGGAAAGTAGCTGGCATTCTATGTATCTTACCTCGGTTTTGACTTCTTTTCCTTAACAAAAAATGTAAAAAGTAGTTTCTGGTGTCCATTTTGTGCTGAATAAAAGTCTCTGTTTTCTTTACAATTTTGTTGGATAACTGAGATAAAAGTTACACTAAAGCTAGCTTGGTTGTATTCATCATTCTGTATATCAGTGGCTAAGCTAGCAGTCAGGATTGGTTGACACCACAGGGATTCCCAAAGCCTGTGTGATGCATTTTGCATGCTGGGCATCTAGTGAGATGATATTGATGAACGAACACATGGAAATTATATAAATTGTGAATTCTGTGCTACAGAATACTACGTAACATGACTAATTACATTAGGCCTGAATTTCCCTTCAAGCACTTCAAGAGGTGTGAAACAGACAGCTAAGACTAGGACCTTTTCACTCACCAGTTCAATGAATCTGTTTTCCAAAGACCTGTATTCAGGAGAGCTCTTGTTAAAGAGGTCGTCAGAGAACATCATGTTTGTGACTCGCAAACTGAAGAACACCACAAGCTCTTTGCCTTTGCTAGCTGTGGTCATCGAAGGTGTCGTCAAATACTTCAGTGGCGGAGCAACTGTGCTCTCGAATGGATGGTCTTCATTGGGAAAAATATACCCAGTTCCATAACTCAGCAGATCGATGGTCTCTGTGCTCACTACATCCATCTGATCCAGCTCTCCAGCTAGATCTTGCACCTCAGAGTGTAAGTCATCCTTCGGTAAAGCCACCTCCTCTGTTCCATCCATCTCTCCAGTCTCCATATGTTCAACCTCCTCCACATCTACAGATATGGTTGTAGGTAATTCCTCCTCCTCTAGAACAGGTGCTGATATAGTTGTTGGAGGAGACTCTGTTGCAGGGGGCTGTTCTGGGACTGATTCAGTGACGACTTCTGGCATTTTAGGAATGACCTCTGTTTCACCGGTGTTCTCTTCTGTATACCAAAATGAGAAATAAATTGAACAGTTGTTGAATTTGTGTATTGTCATGAATATATGTAGCATTAATTTATCAGATATTTACCATTGTGTTTCATAAAGTCTATTTATCATATCAAAATTTCATATCAAACGTTTTTGATGCAAAATGCTAAAGATTTCTTATCAAGCACTGTTTTATGAAACAGGGCTAAAGGGGCTCTCAACCCAAAATGAAAACATTTGTCATCTGTTGAAAACATGCCTACTCGCCTCCTACAGTGGTACCACAGCCGTTTCCAGAGTGAGATTTTTTCAGTTTATAGACTAGGAAACCCCACCCTTCTGATTCAAGGTCATGAAGATGGGAGGAACTTTTGAAAAGCTTTTTTGGAATATACTTGTGAGTGGGCTGTTTTTCACCAGCCAGAAGGAAGCCAGATACATTAACATAACATTACAGCTAAGAATAAGAGCATGACATCAGTATTTATTAGCCCCTATATTAATAGCTGGGCTAGCAGTCAGGATTGTTAGAGCATAGTAGAGATTTCCCAAGGTATGACATATTTGTTTAATCCATGCTGGGTATTGCAGTGAGAGAACACTGATGTATGAAAAAACAAAATCAAGACAAGATCACAAATTTTGTCAAACCAATGAGGCTGTGCTAGAGAATATTGCATTTTAGGACATTTTAGGTCAGAATACCCCTTTAATTTACATACAAAGAACTTTAATTTATGTTTTAGGTACACCATAAAAACACTGTTGCACCTTTAGCATTTACTTGGTTTACCAGACTGTCATAAATGTAAAACATTAGAAACTTTTACAGGCCAAAGTAATGCAGGGAAATAAGCTACATGAAGTCTCTCTTGGGAGAATGTGATGTTGTAATTAATGAATTGTTAAAAGCCTAGTGTTTTGAGCTCATTACATTACAAACTAGACAGAACATTTATCAGTGGAGGCAGCTCAAGGTCTATATATAGTACATTAATTCTTCCCAAGAGGTTGGGCTAATTACCACACTCATGCAAATGCACAGTTGAAGTATGGATATTAACTGCCTTTAATCATGTTATGTGTCTTTCTCTCAAAACAAACAGTGGAAGATATCACTTTGTGTTATCATCAAACAATGTTCACCTCTCTTGATAATTTCAGAATCCTCAGCAGGTGATGGCTCTTCATCTTCTTGTACAGCTGTCTCAGTGTTCTCATCAGGTTGTGCTTCTTCTAAAGTTGTTTCAACAGGCTGAACACCAGCTGTGGTATCCTCATGTGGTTCTGCTGTTATGACCTCAGATGCTTCAGCATCTTCCTTGACAACTGGGACTTCAGAATGTTCATCTTCGGGATGATCCACATGCTCAGGCTGGCCTACATCCTCTTTGCCCTTTGTGGGAACAAAGGGCAGATTTGCAGGCTCTTCAGGGTAATGATAATCATGATAATCAATGCCCCCACCAGGCTCAGTGTCTTTGGAAATATCTGGTGGAATAATCTTAATCATATCAGTAGGAGGCTCAGTTGGTTCTCTCTCGGGTACAGGAGCTTCACTTGCTACCTCATCCTCAGGTTCTGGTACCTTAACCTGGTCCTCAAGCTTTGGTATGTTGGCAGGAAGCTCAGTTGGTTCTTCCTCAGGTACAGGAGCTTCACTTGCTACCTCTTCCTCATGTTCTGGTACCTTAACCTGATCCTCAAGCTTTGGTATGTTGGCAGGAAGCTCAGTTGGTTCTTCCTCAGGTACAGGAACTTCACTTGCTACCTCTTCCTCATGTTCTGGTACCTTAACCTGGTCCTCAAGCTTTGGTGTGTTGGCAGGAAGCTCAGTTGCTTGTTCCTCAGATACAGGAGCTTCAGTTGCTACCTCATCCTCAAGTTCTTCCTTGGGTTCTGGTGGTTCAACCTCTTCTTTGGGTTTTGCTGCCTCCTTTTCTTCCCAAGGTTTTGATAAATCAGCCTCTTCTTCAGGAGTTGTTGCCTCAACCTTTACACCTGGTTCTGCTACTTCACCTTTTTTCTCAGGGTGTCCTACCTCATGATCTTTGACAGTTTCTTCAACCTCAGGTTCTATCTCATGTTTCACTGACTCAGTGTCTTCCTCACGTTCTGGTACCTTTGCCACTTCTTCTGGTCCTGCTACCCCACTCTCTTCCATTTCTGTTCTTTCAACATCAACCTTACCCTCCTCTTTATGTTCCACTACTTTAACTTCATCTTCAGTTTCCACTATCTCAGTCTCTTCTTTAGGTTCTATTACCTCAGTGTCTTCATCATGTTCTGTTATATCAATTTCTTTTTCTGGTTTTGTCTCTTTAACCTTTACTTTAGATTCTGATACGTCAGTCTTTTCTTCATGTTCAGTTACTTCACCTGTTTTCTCAACCTCTTTTTTGGGTTCTGTTACCTCAACCTCTTTCTTGGGTTCTGTTACCTCAACCTCTTTTTGGGGTTCTGTTACCTCAACCTCTTTCTTGGGTTCTGTTACCTCAACCTCTTTCTTGGGTTCTACTGCCTCAACCTCTTTCCTGGGTTCTGTTACCTCAACCTCTTTTTTGGGTTCTACTGCCTCACCTTCTTTCTTGGGTTCTGTTACCTCAACCTCTTTCTTCGGTTCTACTGCCTCAACCTCTTTTTTGGGTTCTACTGCCTCAACCTCTTTCTTGGGTTCTACTGCCTCAACCTCTTTTTGGGGTTCTGTTGCCTCAGCCTCTGCTTTGGGTTTTGTTACCGGGACCTCTTTTTTAAGTCCTGTTCCCTCAGCCTCTTCTTTGGGTTTTGTAACATCTACCTCTTCCTTGGGTTCTGTTACCTCAACCTCTTTTTTGGGTCCTGTTACCTCAACTTCTTCTTTGGCTTCTGTAGCATCTACTTCTTTGGGTTCTGTTACCTCAACCTCTTTCTTGGCTTCTACTGCCTCTACCTCTTTATGGGGTTCTACTGCCTCAATATTTTCTTCAGGTTCTGTTACTTCAACCTCTTCCTCAGTCTTTTCAGGTTCCGTTAATTCAGTCTCTTCTTCAAGCTCACCTGCAGAAAAGTCTTCATATTCTGTGGGTTCTGCTGTCTCATCAGGTTCCTGAACCTCTTCAGGCCCTTTCACTGGCTTATCTGAACTAGGATCCTCAAGTACCTTATCTTCTCTGTCTGGCTCAGGTGTCTCTTCCTCAATTGGAAGTATGTTTGATTCCTCTTCCTCCTTAGTCAGTGACTCAATAGGCTCAGTAGGAGGCTGTAAGGTAATGGCCCAGTCTGTTGTAACTGGTAATTCAGTGTCCTCAGAGGGAGGGGGCACTGTTGCTGTGGTGAGCAAAATCTGTGTTGTGGTGACTGATGTTGAAATGATGTCATCCTCTGATATCATGTTAGGACTCAAGTCACTGTCTGGGAAAGGCTTGTCAAGATGTTCATCGATTGGTGGTAATGGTAAGTCATCCTCTGAAATGAGGTTTGGAGTCTGATCTGGGGCATCTGTCCCCTCTTCACTAGCATCTTCACTTGGTGGCTCACTGAGTACTTCCGGTGGGGGTGTGGGGAAAATGTCTCTTATGAGCTCACCATTTTCTCCTGTTATTGTTTCAATCATGTGGGTGATGAACACCTCCTCTTCAGGTTCACTTGTTGGTAGTGTTGTTTGAGAGACACTTGTTTCTGTAGTAGCCGTTGGATCTAACAGTGTATCTAGGTCATTCACATCTTTGATTGGGGAAAGAGGAGTTTCCACAATCTCTGGCTTTTCTGTTGATATTCCTAGGTCATCATAAGTGTCTGGCTCAGGAAACTGTGAAATAAAAAGTGAAATGTTATGCTAGTGTATTTAACATTGTACAAATTTATACATATATAGCTGGCAAAGATTTTACACTTTTATTACTAGCACACAGGTTGAATCAGCAGTAGAGAAATATGTGTTAAATGGTATGAGTCACCTCAGTTGCAACGTCTTCTAAGACTTCAGAGGCTGGTGTTGAAGTTGATGTCAAAGTTTTGCCTAGTGTGATTAAAAACAATTGATGAAAGCATAGGTGATACCTTCGGTAGAGAAAAAATATGATCAAGTTCAAGTGCAGAGACTTTGATGTTTGCTTTGTATGCTAAACACATATCGTTTCGCTTTGGGCACCTGTTGGAATAATTCGGATAACTTGGTGACATACATATTTTAACTAGATTTCACAAAAATGACTCATTCCTCTGGCAACCCGATTCATCTCAATCATTTACCTGGATCAAAGGACAGCGTATCAAGGTCGATTGGCAGAGAGGCCTCCTCAGCAAGTGCTTTTTTCATAGTCTCCCTCAGGCTAGGTCCACCTGCTGTACTTATGGTGTCCTCCAGGCTGTCCTCTGCGATGTCAGGTGCAATAATCTCAAAGATAACCGCATAGTGCACTGATATTCCTCCAGATCTGTGGAGCCAGAATGGATTTAAGTTAGGGTTCAAATGGCATAGTTATCTATGAAATTATGCTTCCACTTTACAAGGTCTATTTTAGACATGCTCTGTACACCCCAAATGCAAATGGTGTGGAGACCCAAAAGAATGGGCCTTTTTCTGAAAGAAAGAACAATTTTAATGATAATACAGTCAATATATCTAATGTTTCTCATTTCAAGATTGCTGTAAGAATGGTACGAGATTACTCAAATTATTTCTAGGTGTTTTTACATGTTCTAAGTCAACCTAACTTTTAAGACATAGGGATGAAGGGAAAATGTGGACCATCTGAGGGTCCTGAGGAGAGGGTTGGTAACCACTGTTACTTTATTTTATCATGTGAAACTGGTGAAATTGTCATGTTGTAGCTTGTTTTGCTTGTTTAAAGGCACAAAGATGAACCTGGTCAAATGATATGTTTTGTTGATTCTGTTGGTTTTGATGTAGTTTTAAAATAAGTTACAAATTTCAAAACAAGTTGCAAATTTGAATTTAACGTAACATAAAATGTGGCCTGTGCACTGAAATTTGCAGAAAAATGCCATATTTAAGTGTTCCCTGTAGAGCAAGGCTTCCGAATCTCTCTCCTGGTGACCCCACACTATTCACATTTGTGTACTTTCTCTCATCTATCACACCTGATGCAATTCATTAACTAATTATCAAGCTCCTCATGGGGTCGCCAGAACTGGGATGATAGAGATCCCCTGCTGTAAAGGATAAGTTACCTTATCTTCTTTTACATCAACATCAGCAGAACATGTCATTTGACTGGGGGTGTTCAAACTTTTACTCTAGATATATAAAGATCTATAAAAATGATTTCACTTGCCATCATTTTTTTGGCAGTGATCCAAAATAAGTGGCAGATAGCAAGTGCTAACATGCCAACAGTAAGAGTTAGATATACTGGATGCCTTAATTACATCTCTACAGTACTAACACTACTATAAGTGGTGCCAGGCCACATTATCATATTAATTACCATAAATGACAGTAATGACATTACATTTAACTAGACTATATTCTTAAGATGTGCACACTACATACTACTCTGTAATACAATTACCCATCATTCCCTTCCGTCTCGCTTGATTTAAGAGAAAAGAAAAGAGAGGTCAGCCACATTTGGAGAGAAATCATAACAGCTAATAAGGCAAAAACATTTATGACTTTAATGGATGTAACATTGCGCTGCTATTCATTTGCATCTCAGAGTGCACAAATAATCTGATGAAAGATTGCTGGTAAATGTAAACATTCTGGACGCGTGTGACTGTTTTACATAATGACTGTGCACACGGATTGGCATCCCTATGCGACTCAAGCTAAATGCAATAATTAGTCAGTGTTCATAGGCAGTCCAAACTGACTAGAGATGATCACGCAATCTGGCCTGCTTCCCCAAAAGCATCGCAACATAAGGATAGCGGAGTGAGTGACACTATGTCTGACAGTTAGGATAATTCAATCACGGTTGTACTTCAGGGAAGCCAAGCCTGGATCTTTTTCTTTTTTCTTTTTTTTCAGCCAGCTGTGCTTTTATCAGATGAATGGTATGTCGTTGCAATTAAGTCAGATGATTCTTTCATGCCCTGTGGGCAGTACCGTGTAAAGCCGATGACTCACCCACTAATCAACGAGCTTTAATAGGGAGGATATGGCTTTTTGATGACCTCTGAAAATGACCTCATCCTCTGCGTTTTCCCTCTCATATCCCCAGCTGTGCTGAGCCTCAAGCTGCTTTGCATGACCTACCTGATTCCCAGCACTTGGATGTCTTTAAACCCCGGCAAGTCATCAAATACATGTTGCATCTGTGCAAAGAAGACAAAGGGAGAGATTTATTGTAAGGTTTATCCGCACCATCCACGTGTGTCAACTGTTGCTTCGCTAATTAGTGACTCCGCCAACTGGTGCCTTGCCTCGGCCAATCATTAATAGTGCTTGGATCTGAGAGAAGAAATTAGCATAAAATTCTTAGCAAACTGAGCCAAGATTTAAAATGCAGTCTAATGTGAAAGCGCTTCTATTCCCCAGCTGTGTTAACACATGAGCCACTGTGATTAATGGCAAACTGTGACAAAAGAGGTGAAAACAACTTTTAAAGAATTAATCTAACAGAAGAAAACAAAGCACATAAAAGTAAATAAAAAATGTAGGAGTTTCTTGGCATGAAGACGTTAAATTAAGCGGCGGTGAGCTAATCCGCTGGCTTTCCCTGATGTGACCTGGCTGTCTTTTAGTAAGCAGCTTTTCAGCAGAGCTCCTCTGGAGAGTGCGCCCACAGTAAATTTAGAGGAAGTGCCTTCAAGTATCAAATCAAATTAATAGTCCATCATCTAATTAGTCTCATGCTGGTATGTCAGTGGGTCAAACGTAATGGCCTCAAGGGTTTTAGACAGGTAAACAGCATGTTTGTGCCATCCTGAATATGATATATGTGGATCGTTCTACTGAACTGGATCAAAGTCAGAGTTCAAAACACATTTTAGACTTTTAACTGACTTTGACTTGAGACTAAAATCCTTTTTTAAAATCCTGCTTTGAGTGACCTTTTATCTTAAATGTGTTTATTCTTTTTAAATAAATGGATAATCTATTTTGTCGCTAACAACAACCATAAAACTACTGAAACTTTACCAACTGTTCAAAAACGCTAGCCCATACATGACTAGCGAACACAGCTTGTTGAACAGTTGTACACGCATAAAATCATAATATCTTTCATTAAAACACAAGAATGTTAATTGCAGAAAATCTGTGTTTCGGTAGTGACAGTTCTTACCCACAGATGATGTTAGTGGAAAACTAATAACGAATTTGTATGTATTTATTATTCATCTATTATCTATTATGTATACATTGTCATAGGTTTAAACAGACCATAACGTACTCCTTGTAAATATCTAAGGCCTGAATACTTCATTGTTTTTTTACTGTTTGACAGTATTCATTAATCTCTAAGCTGCTTATCCTTCTGGGTCACAGAGGGTGCTGGAGCCTTTCCCAGAGGTCACATCGTAGGGCAGACACACAGATATATACATTTACACACTCACACTTAAGTGCAATTTAGCATCTCCAATTCGAGGAAACCCATGCAGACGCGGGGAGAACACGCAAACTGCGTACATGGGGGACCATGGTTGCCCGTCTGGGGGTCGAATCCAGGCCCTTCTTGCTGCAAGGCGATAGCACCACTGTGCCGCCCCCTGTTTGGCAGCAGTTTGAACTAATTCAGAAATATGACAATAAGCAAGGTCCAGGATGGATTTCTGACCGGGCCAGTGCCTGCGCAGTACAGTACAGTACAGTACATTACGGTTACAAATCCGGACCCAGAACTATTCGTACCCCTGTCCAGCACCACGTTGCCAGAACCACGGAAGCAAGCGGAGTTCTTTTTATCTTGTGTGGTCACACGATTTCTCACACAAATCTAGTGCTAACAGTAAACATGAACAACAGCAGCAAACATGAAGGAGCTTCAAGCTCTGGTTTACCTTTTACCTTTTTTAGACTCACAGATAGAGCTTCTGTTCATAACTATGTTTGACAAAACAATTGTTTGCACCAATACTTGCATTTAACATGTGGGGGAAAAATATAGAACTAAATGTGGCCTGTGCAAATGGCACATTTTATATTATTTATTATTTTTTAATACATCAAACGCAGCATTCAAATAGAAATTGTGCACTAAAAATGAGCAGAAACTTAGAATATTTTACGAAAGCCAATTTACTGTTCTTCATTTTAGGATTCTACACTTTTTTGGTACAATTTTCATGGATCACATTTTTTGAGCTAGAACCACAAAACTTTACAGGATGGTACAGCCTGTACAGTGTTTTTGCTTTTGGAACTGATCACATTTATGATTTGTGTACAGCATGTTTTCCCATGTGAAATGACCAGTGAAATGCTGAGAAAATCTCACACACTGACCTTCACAGACTCTCATACATACTAGCACATTAGCAACCACCTGGGATTCCATAGCGGTGGCCTAGCAACACCTTAGAATTAGCTGGGATTCCATAGCAATGGCCCAGCAACACCTTAGAATCAGCTCGGATTCTATAGCCATGGCCTAGCAACACCTTAGCAACCATATGAGATAACACAGCAAAGGCCTAGCAACACCTTAGCAACCCCCCGAGATACCATAGCAATAGCCCAGCAACACCTTAGTTAACCACCTGGGATTTTATAGCAATGGCTCTTTTCAGGCTTCAGGATTATTCACTTTCCCTTTATCCACATATTTTTACTTAGAAAATCAATAAAACATCATTTGGCAGGGAGTGATCAAACTTTTGCATATAACTGTACATTCTGGCTTGGTACACTTGGTACCCCAGCGAGAGGGATAACCCAATTCAGCATGGGTACTCAGGTATGGTACGGGTCACTGCCAGTGGAAATGATGACAAAATGCATGATCACAGATTTGTAACCTTACCATACTGTACTGTACTGTCAAGTGGAAGAACGCTTTTGGATCAAGGTGGCTAAAATGAATTGTACATGTAAACATTAGATGGATGAATAGGCCTTGAACATTTACAAAACATTTTTGCTTTTGGAACTGATCACATATATGATTTGTGTACAGCATTTGTTCAAACACAAATGTTTTTCCATGTGAAATGACCAGTGAAATGCTGAGAAAACCTCACACTCTCACTGACTTCAAAGACTCACATACATACAAGCACATTAGCAACCACCTGGGATTCCTTAGCAGTGGCCTAGCAACACCTTAGAACCAGCTGGCTCAGTTTTGTACTGTGAGATTTTGTTGTTGCCATTCAAATAGGAGGTTTCAGATGTGATAGTGCTGTTAGAGTTTACTCCTCCATGTATGTAGGACAACATCTGTTTTTGCATTAACAATCAGTTTGGCTCAAAAGATAAATATTTTCAGGGAAAAAAATAAACACCATTGTGAAATATTTAGGTTTTGTCCTCAGGTCTTGTTTTTGAAGAGCATTGGGCCACATTAACAAGAATTTTGGTATCCATCAAAAACTCTTCATCACTTTGATATTCACTGTGGTTTGCTGTGGATGTGTGTTTGTGGGCGGAGACTGACATCTAAAAGCTCACAAGCAGAGGTGGAACCAGTAGGGGGGCCCTGCCCTTGAGGGGGGCCCACAGACACGACCAAAAATAAATAAATAAAGTTTTAGTGATGAAATATCTAAAACATCTCAACATAATTCTGGTAGGCGTTGTTATAACTACAGTGATATAAATGGCAGAATAAGTTTTTCAGAGCAGATTTGAGGCCCAGTAGTGAACAGGTGGCTGCATAAGAAGAAGACATAGAAAAGGTTCACTTTAACTCAGACTTAGTTTCTTTCACTCATGTTTTATCTCTTTGAGTCAAACTTAAACTCCAATGACCAAAAAGAAAATGACCATGAAGAGGATGGAGAGAGAGAGTTTGACAGATGGAAAATTGACTGTGAAAACTTGAAGGGAGGATGAGGAGAGCTCTAAAGGATCAAAAACAAAATGTGAGGCAGAATCTGCAAGAGGTGTATAAAGACCCCCAGCTATGGGCGGTAGAGCAGTGGTTCTGCGTTCTCTGGAGTGATGGAACTCCACTCAATACCTTTGGGATGAGTTGGAGTGTCATTTGTGATCCAGAACTAATCATCAAACATCACCAATGCTGTTGTGGCTGAGTGCAATCAAATCCTCACACCAATGTTCCAACATCTAGTGTAAAGTCTTCCCAAAGGAGTAGAGGCTGTTAATGCAGCAAAAAGGGGGCACACTTCTCTTTAATACCCTTGATTTGAGAAGAAACACTGATGAGCTGGTATCTACAAACACATAGACATATAGGCCCAGTCTCATTTCTTATTGTTTTTGAGTGTCACCTTGCACCTTGAGTGTAACTCAGTTCCAAGGGGTAGTGGTTGAAATCTTCCCCCACGAAATGGGACCCTCAAATAAAAAAGAACATCATTAACAGGCTACTAGCACTGCTCTGTAGGCGACCCTGCCAGTCTGCAGTGACAGCAGAGGAGGGTAAAGTTCAGCTCCTCGCTGCTGGGCTTTAGTTACATTTAGGGAATCATATGCCTTCAAATGGGGGTGCAATAATTATTTATCATCGCCCACCCATAATTCTTCAGTGATATGAAGCTGAAGTCAGCTATTCACCAGCTTCTCGTTCAAAATTTAGCTAGCCAGCTATTGAGACTTCAGCATACTACTAGCATTTTTTTCTGCTTGTTACCAATTAAAAGGACCATAATACATTGAAACAAAAACTAAGATAATAAAATGGTTATCATCATTTTTAAACAAGAGAATTTACTCACATTTGTGGGTTTCTTTGGTCGCTTGTGCAGCCATCTTGCCAGTTTTCCTCTCCTGACACTCTGTTTGGAGTGAGCCTCTGGAAAACCTCTGTTTGGAGGGCCATGTAGCCCTAACACTTCACCCTACCCCTCTATCTCAACAAAAATTGGGACACCTTACCCCTTGGCGTGAACATGCAAATCGGAGGTGTAGGGCTAAGTGGTAGGGGCAAGGAGTGAAATGGGATTGGGCCTTAGTGTATTTCACAAATCCCTGGTAGTAGGGTACTGAAAGTATGACCCATGCCCAATTCTGAATATAATGCTAACACTGCAGTGCAAATAATAATATTGACATTGGACATCCTTCGATTTGAGACCACACTAGCCTCACAGACTCTCACCTGGTCTTGTAGGTGACGTGAGAGGTCGTGGTACTGAGGTGAATCAGCGTCACCTAGCAGTTCCCTGTACCCAGGGTCCACCAGGCTTATACTGAACTCCACTACCTGCACCAACAGCTCCTCAGGCACCACATTGGGCATCTCCAAGTCCTGCAGAAATGACACTGGAGTAAACAAGGGAGCAGTTCTTTCTGGAGAACTGCCACACTCTCCTTAGGTGATGCACCATGAGCTACATGAAATGAACGTTATATAAGATACCTGTTGAAAATTGGGTTTTATTTCCAAGAATGCATTAACATTTTACGTTTATGGTGCTTTCAGATGACAGACAGGCATACAATTAGCTAATAGCAGAGACCTGAACGTGATGTGCTTTAAAGCAATTTTTAAGCTTTCTGTGAAATGTGGATTCCTCTGAAGTCAGGCTGACTCAGCACTAGAGCCTGTCTTTGTAATATTCCACTCAAAGGTCTATGATTTGAGGTCAAAAGCAGAGTTCTAAATTTTTTAAGCAGTTGGGTGACGTTAAGCAGTCCATATCCTGAGTGGAGTCTGCATTTCTTTCTCCTGTAGAGCTAATATTCTAGTATACCTACAGCTGACTGTTACCACTTGGGGGCCGTTGTTAAAAATTCATTGTGAAGTATATTGCATGAGTTAAGAAGACCTTTCATCAGTCTGGCTGTGATGCTGAATTGAAGGCTTACATCTAGCTTCTCCACATGGTGCTACGTGCTAATCTAATGACATGTAATTTGCCTGGGAAGTGTGAACAGAACAGCTTTATGATCCTAAATGCATGTTATTTCAGGGTGTTACAGCATGACCATGGACCGACCTCCTCTGGGACGTCTGTAGTTTCCTGTTCAAAGTCTTCTGAGGTTCCTACTGGCTCTGTTGGGATGCTGGGATGGGTAGTATTGGGCTCGGATGAATCTATTGGGATCTCAGGCTGGACTGGGACCTCCTCTGGTTCTTCTGGCACAGCATACATTATTTCAAATAATGGATAAAACAAAGGGATGCAAAATATTCTTGTTTCTTTTTCTCTTCTCTTCCTTACCTGTTACTACTGCAGCAGGCTCTGTTACCGACTTAACAGTAGTGTCTTCTCTGTGAGAGAAAAATGAACATTCATATAAATGTAAGATTTTATTTTTGTATAGAGCCGTCAGAGACCACCCTTCATTTATTTAATTTCCAGTCAAAAGAGTCATTGAGAACAAGCTATTCATTCCTCAGGAGATATTTCTGATGAGATTAGATATCAGACAAGCCAAAATCAAAGAATATGTGAAAATAATTGAGTTTTAAAAATTGGAGTTCAAAACGTGATTAAAAGCTACAGAGAAAATGGCACTTTTGCATGCGCCCATCCCCCCGGGTCCCAGTAACGGCCACAAGAGCCGGCTGGAAGGCGGGGCCCAAACTCCAAGCGAGGACGAAGCCCAGGCAGCGGAGTTCGGGACTCATTTCCCGCCTTCGTGTCTTTTGTCTGTCATCTTCGTCCCCTCCCTGGTGGCTGACATCTTCCTCCCGCCGTCACTCGCGTCCCTCGGCGGTGTTCAGGCGCACCGTCCCCCACTCACTCGCGGTTCTCCTCTCCCTGCTGACCTCGTGACCATCGTTTGGGCCCGGGGGACAGGCACATGCCATAGGGATCAAACAACAGTGCAAGATCTGGAAGACCACCAAAACTGTCCCCATCAGATAAACAACACTTCAAGCTTTCATATTGAGAGAGAATCAAGCTCCGCTCTTGCTTCAGATCTGAAAAAATCCACAGGTGTTTCTGTCCATCCTTCCACTGTGAGAAGACAACTCAACACTATGAGGCTTAAAGGATGTGTAGCTGTCAAGAGGCCCTCATTGAGAAAAGGATACAGACAAAAAGAAGAATATTTGCACTAGAACCTCAAAACTGGAGATCTGGGAATCTGACATGTGGAGCAGAAAGCAAGTCTCCTGAAAAGAATGGAAGCTGTAATAAAGGTGAAGAGTGGACACATCAAATACTGAAAATTCTGATAGTTGTGGAGTTTTCTACTAAATATGTTTTTACTGACAATACTTATGGCCATTTTGACATGTAGCTCTGTTATAACTGAAGTCTGGGGGGAGGAGCATGGCTGAAACCCCTCCTTCTTCCAATGTAACACCCTATAAATTCACATCCTCACCTTTTGTTTCCATAACAAAGTGTTTGCAATCCCCACCACCACCCCATCTCCTCCCTGTTCCTCAGTCCTGCATCAGTCCTACCACAGCTTGAGGGGGTCCAGCCTTCTAGCCACAGACAGAAGCCACCAAAACCTCCAGCCCAAGATCTCAGGGACTTCTCCCCCTCCCTCAATCAGTCTTCCGTCATACTGCCACCGCTTTGATGATGGGTGCTCTAATGTTTTCACAGTACTGTATGTACAAGTTTGTGTTTTTAGACATTCTTACATTAAAGTTGTGGCTATTTTTTGGTGTTCTTACCTCTCTGGAGGTCCATCTGTTACTTCTGGCACTGATTCTGTTACTGACCTAGCTGTCGTGTCTCCTCTGTGGGTGCAAAATGAACAGTTACATATCATATGCAGGTTTTTTGTGTTGTAGGTTTGATTGTAGTTATTGAACTTTTGGTTTTTAAACTTTGAAAGAGTTGTTTTGTTTGTAAACAGGCTGTTCTGTGGTGGGCTCACCTTTCTGGAAGTCTGTCTGTTACTGTAGGCCCAGGCTCTGTTACTGACTTTGCTGTTGTGTCTTCTCTGTAAATGCAAAACATATTATATTTAGTATTTTTTAAGTTGTGTCTTTGTGTTTGTAGTAGGGATGTCCTGATCCGATCTAAAGAATCAAGATTGGAGCTGTTTCAGGGATATTCTAAAGGATCAGGTATCAGCCGTAATAAGCCTGATCCAGTTTCTTGTTCTTTTGTGTGTTCTACTTATGTCACTATCATAGAAGCATTATAAATGGACATTATCCTTAATATGAAGCAGAGAACTGTGTAATATGAGCAATAGAATATGAGAACATCTACACCAGCAGTGTTTTTTTCCACTGTGTTTGAGCCAGCAGAGCTTCACTGACTATTGCACACACTTTAATACATTATGAATCATTGCATATTCATGACACTATAAAATATATATTTTGCATTAGTCTACACTCTTAAAAAAGGTTTTTTCAAGGGAACTTTAGTAAAGAAAATGGTTCTATATAGAACCATGAACACTTAAGGAAGCCTTTGCATGATTAAAGGTTCTTGCATCATGAAAGCATTCTTCAGACTGATGTAGAATGTGCTGTAAAATTGTTCTATATAGAACCTTTCTGAAAAGCGTTCCATATAGCACCAGAAATGTTAAGCTTGACACAATCGAAGGACTCTTTTTGGTGCTATATAGAACACTTTTTAAAGAGGTTCTATATAGAACCATGTATAACACTCAATCAATCTGAAGAATCCTTTCATGATGCAAAGAACCCTTTAATCATGCAAAGGGTTCTTTGAGAGTTCATGGTTCTACATAGAACCATTTCTTTACTAAAGAACCCTTTAAAAACCGCCATTTTTAAGGGTGTACAAAATAAGTCCGCAAAAAGAAAACAGAAGACGTAAGAATAGAATATGTGCACTCTTAAAAAAATGGTTCTTCAAGGGTTCTTTCAAGACAATTATAGAGCCATGAATGCTCAAAGAACCATTTGCATGCTTAAATGGTTCTTTGCATGGTGAAATGTTTCTAAATGTGTTGTATGTGGTTCTATATAGAACCTTTTTGAAAATGGTTCTGTATGTCACTAAAAAGGTTCTGCTATGGTTCCAATGGTCAAGCTTGTAACAATAGAAGAACCCTGTTTGGTGCAGTATAAAACCAAATACAACACATTTTCCATCAATCTGAAGAACCATTTCACCAGACAAAGAACTATTTCATCATGAGTGTTCATGGCTCTTCAAAGAAACATTGTCTTCACTGAAGAACCATTGAAGAACCATCTTTTTTAAGACTGTACCACTACGCAGACATTAAAAATGTTAATTCACTAAAGAATATCAAAATAACTCATAGCCATCATCAGGCAGGTCAATCAAACGAACCGACAATCAGTATTAAACACACTGTAAAATGGTCATTTATAAAAGTGTTAACTGGCTCTAAAACCACCACATTGGATTGGATTGGTATCGGTATTGGCTGATACTCAACACTTCTCAGATCGAATCAGGAAATCCCTAGTTTGTAGAAATTGAACTTAGTTCTTGCACACCGGAACAGTATGGCTATTTTAAGGTGGTCTCACCTGTCTGGAAGTCTTCCTATTACTTCTGGCACAGATTCTGCTACCATCTTCGTTGTTGTATCTTCTCTGTGAGTGCAAAATCAACATTTACATATATGCGTGATTATTAATTGATTTTTGTTTTATTTATGTCATTATGTGCATTAGTGTATGTTGGTTCTTGCACACTAGAACAATTAAGGCTCTTTTGCGATGGTCTCACCTTTCTGGAAGTCCATCTGTTACTTCTGGCACAGACTCTGTTACCATCTTTGTCGTTGTGTCTTCTCTGTGAAAGCAAAATGAACATTTACATATATAATGTAGATTTGTTGTTATGAGGCTGTGATTATGGATACTGAACATCTTGAAAGACAGCTATTTTGTGGAGGGCTCACCTTTCCGGAAGCCTGTCTCTTGGCAGATTCATTCTCTGGAAGACAAATCACAAAGAGTCCCACTTTACCACTCTGAAAAATCAAACTACACGTGAGTAGATGGGAACCTGTCACTCCTAAGGCTCTTAATGAAATGTACCCAGAGCTTTGTGTTATCTTCGCTCATAATTTACTAGTCTAAATCTTAATACTTATGTTGGCACCAAAGGCTTCAGTGGAATAAACATCTTTGTCCATATACAGTAAGAAAGACTGTATCCTGAGTTAACCAAACTACTTTTAATATTAACTAGGATTGATTTTAAAATAGAAGTCTAGTAGAAGGAACAGTGGCAAGATTTCACGACAATCTGGGATCTGACACCACTATCTATATATATAATGTGTAATTATCAATTAAGGCCTCTGAAACCCCTTAAATGGCCAGGGCCCACCAACAGGCCCATCTTTTAATTACACTTCTATAATCTAAGAATAGGTCAGCCAGTTTTGCATTGGAGTGCATTGAAGTCCCTGTAGTTACTGAATAATAAGCTTTAGTATGTAATAATGTAAGCTTTAGTATGTCAGCTCCTTCAGGTGGGTAGGTGTCAAATCCAGTTCCAAATCTAAGTGATGGGAATTGAGTAGATTCCATTCGTCGATTCCAAAAACTAAGGCATAGTGAAAGACATCACTGTTAATTATATCTCACCTTAGCAAATATATTTGGAGAGCTAATGCTAGCTAAATTACCATGTCTGACGGTACTCGGTACAGGGGACTGGCTAGGTTGTACCTGTTTGTCCTCTGTCAGCTCATTCAGGTTGGTAGAAGTTTCAACACTGGCAATGTTGTTTGACTGTACGCTAACTTTTCATTACAAACTTTACATTTTACTTGTTGTGTAAAGTAAAATACAGCTGCACTATCAATGTGTATCTGTACAAGGCTGTATTTGTCTTTCAGTCTGTCTAGAGTAGGGGTTGGCTTATTGCCCTGTTGTGGCTTCACAGCAGAATTAGATTTTTAGGTAAAAATAAAATAATCCTCCTTTGCAGTAAAATAAAGCTCTGCTGATCATTCTAACACCATTTTCTTAATAAATGGTCTTAAATGCTGGAGTTAGTGTGTAACTGCTAATTCACCCTTTAACCCTGATGACTGGTGTGCAGACTGCTGGTTAGCACAGCAAAGCAAACAAAAATCTTGCCTAGTTAGTAGCTAACTGAAAAGACAAAGAGAAAGATTTAAGAACATCGATAATTTGGAGATGAATGGGCTTACTTGCATTTATAAGCACTCGGCTGGTTTCCTGATATGTTTAATCTGCAAAGTCAGCATCTTGTTCGAATTCTCCCGTTCCACCTTAAATGGTACTGCAGTTACATTCTGGTGCCTCAGGCACCATTTAAGGTGGAACGGGAAAATTCGCTGACTTCAGCCTCGTAAAAAGTCGAATGCTAAGAGACATTTTTCAAGAAACTGTTCTACTTTTGAGGGAAAGTTTCCTGCCAGAGATGCAAGAAAAGCAGCTATAGCTGAGCTAAAGCTTAAAGCAGAGCAAAGTGAGTCTGTGTTTTTGTTTATATTATATTTTTAGCCTACACTAGTACATCAGCACATACTGAGACATATTTACAGCCAAGATGGTGAAGCGTTACTTCACTAAAATGGACATAAAATGCTGTGGCTCCAAAGGTGGTGTGATTTTTGTTGAAAGGACAAAATGGCTCTTCTTAACATTTGGGCTGTGACCCCTGGTTTACACTGTGACATCTCACACTTTCATGGATGCAGGCAAGCTTGAACATCACTGTGTGGAATCGAATCCAAATATTTAACGATAATTTTGTCCTGGTTTATCGATGTTTCAGAATTGCCCTTTTTGTGATCATTTCATTTAAGTTACTGAAAAAGGTTACCCAACACCAGCTGGCCCTGTGTGAAAAAATGATTGCCTCCTTAGTTACTTAATCAACCAATTAACCAAATTTAGTTAATAATTAAACCAGAAACACCCAGGCTTAATTACTCCCAGCCTTGTTGAATCTAAACAGCACTTTATAATAATAATAATAATAATAATAATAATAGTAAATTACATTTATGTAGCACCTTTCACAATCCAAAGGCTGCTTTAATAACAAAGAAAACACACAAAAAAAGGAAGCTAAAGTACAGCTGCACTGTCAGTGTGTATTGATGTGTGAGCAGTGAAGGAGGAAGAGAAATGCTCATGAAAAAGAAAAGTCTTCAATCAGAATTTTATCTAATCTTATTCTAAGATAGATAGAGAATCTTATCTATCTTAAATAGACTCTTTCCAGCAATGTGAAGAAGGCTAAAAGGTCCTGACAAGCTGCACACATGCTGTGATGAAAAGACATTCCGGAAAAGATGAGGAAGAAAGTTATTGAAATATGTCAGACTGGAAAGGGTTACAGAGCCATTTCTAAAGCTCTGGGACTTCAGTGAATCACAGTGAGAGCCATTATCTCCAAATGGAGGAAACTTGAAACAGTGATGAATGCTCCCAGAAGAGTTCACCTACCAAAATTCCTCCAAGAGGACAGTGATGACTTATCCAGAAAGTCACAAAAGAACTCAGATGAACCTCTAAGGAATTGCAGGCCTCACTTGCAAGGTAAAAAATACTAGAGGAACATAAAGCTTTGTCTCACGTTTGCCAAAAAACACCTTCATGACGTCCAAACCTTTTAGAATAATGCTTTGTGGACTTTTCGGTCAAAAGTGGAACTTTTTGGAAGACAGGGGTCCTGTTATATCGGGCATAAAGCTCATACAGCATTCCACAATAAGAACACCTTAGCAACAGTAAAACATGGTGGAGGTAGTGCGATTAACTGGGGATGCTTTACTGCTTTGGGCCTGAGTGACTTTCCATCATTTCTGAACACATTAATTGTGCTCTCTACTCTAAAACTCAAGTGTAATTGGGTTATGCAGCAAAGCAATGATGCAAAAGACACAAGCAGGTCCACCTCTCAATGATTCCAAAGAATGACAGTAAGGTTTTGGAGTGGCCTAGTCATCGTTTAAAAATTGTGCTTTGTGTTTGGTCCTGTTTGTCTTGTGAATTTTGAATGAGGACCTGAAACCATTTTGTGTGACAAATATACAAAAATAGAGAAACTCAGGAGGGCACAAATACTTTTTCTCTAAAAAAATAAAGGTCCCAAAAAGGGTTCTTTGAAGCAAAGCCGCAGAAGAACCACTTTTGGTTTCCGAATGAACCTTTCAGTAGGTCTTGAATGAGTTTCAAGAACATTTTGGGTTCCTCTAGCAATTGAAGGCCTTTCCTAGAACCGTGAATCCAGTTATTCCATTAGTGATTAGTGTAAAAAGATGATGTTCCACAGCTCTGAGAGTTTGGCTATCACAGGCCTTTCATGTCACACTGAAAATCAGTGTCTGTAATTAGCACTGGTTATGGTACACAGGCAGTTTAACAAAGCTGCGAAAAGGGGAAAGGTATTGTGATGCTGTGTTATCTGTTGCTATGGCATTTGTTGTATTATTATTCTCGCTCCTGAACAGAACCTCTATTATTTAACCTGCTGAAGCGAGGAGGCCTTAACAAAACTGAACAATGTGTTGAATTAATACATACATGGGAAATTGTTTGGGTCCTGGGTGTGGATGTTAGAGGAGGCCTTGTTGAAGAGCTCTATATACTTAAAGTGTTGAGTGTAAAACTTTAAGGTATTAAAGTCGCACATAAGGGTGTTAATAATGCATGCGTCGAGTATGAAATGTACTCGTTCTTATTTGTCCTCTCTGAGCTATGAATTTCATTCGACTAATTAGCACTTCATCTTCATTTGTGTACACATTCAGTGATTCACTGTTTGCTCAGTTCTGGTGTTTGAATTCAATATGCTGGAAACGTTCCTAAACGTACATGCTGATGTTTGTTTTTAAGGCGTTAGGAGGTTTCAGTTCTACTGAAGTGGTAGCCAGTGTAGTAGTCAAGGCACAAAATATAGCTGCTGTCACACAGCAGCATTGATAATGAGGGGTTCTTATGTGCAGCCTTACACTGACCTCAAGTAAATAAAATGTAGGCTAATTATGTTTAGTTGTTTTGTGAAAATAAGTGAACACATCCTCTACAGGGACATAAAATATATAATGTGCCATAACTTTTGCACCGGCCACATTTTATGTTTTATTTTTTTCCTGCATGTTAAATTCAGCAAATAAACAGTGATTGTGCATTACAATTGGCAGAAGTGTGTTCTCTGTAGAGGATGTGTACTTATTATAAACATAATTTGACCAGGGCACCCAAACCTTTGCATTTGACTACACATCATGAAATCACAATTCTATAGTAGTTATTCTGTGCATTAAGGAAAAAGGGGATCACTTTGCTCAGAGGGTCCTTCTGGAATGCATTAGTTTTGAAAACAACATCATTTTCTCACTTTGTTTTTAAAATAAAAGTTTGATGTTGTACGTAAACATTTTCAGTCGTTTTCACTTTCACTTCCGAGTCTGTATATAGAAACTAAGCTGCAAAAGCAGCACGTTTTTATTCACAGTTTTTGTGATGTCACAAAATCTGATTCATTCACATATATCTGCCTACAGCAGATTAGCCCCGCCCATTCACACAGATGTTATAAGCAGTGTTTCAGCCTGAGCTGCTCTTGACTGAGCTGCAATACAGGGCAGCCAATCAGAACAGAGCTCATTGACAAACATCATTCTCTTAAAAGAACAGTAACAGCTGATGAGAAAACTGTCATGTTAAAATGAATTACAACAGTACAAACAGTCAAAAGTTTGGAATCAGTGCTTTGAATAATATAAACCCAATTTTGCAACAGATATATAAATATAACAATCCGAAAATTATGCTAAAGTTTTCTGTACTACAAGCAATTTTCAGGAAGCTGTAAAAATAAATTCATTTTACAAGATGAATGGCACTGTAGCTCACATGTGTCAGGCTTCAGTCCTCGTGGGCTAAAACACTGTAGACTTCACGCTGCCTCACTAAATACAACTGATTCAGGTCATCAGCTAATTAGCAAGGCCTTGATGAACTGAATTCATAGCGGTAGATGAGGGTAAACATCTCCACAGCACTTTGGCCTGGAAGGTCCCCAGTTTGACATGCCTGGTGTAGATGATTCTATAAAAGTCGAGAAAGCTGTAAAGCAAGAATGAACTAACAAATTTAATACAATTAATACAAGTTCAGTGGAAACGTGCATGATTCCAAAACCGAAGTGAACTGGATTAATGCGTCTGATTTAGAGTTTTCATGCGAGTATGTACTGTTGTAATTCATTTTAACGTGTTCATCTCCTTCATCCCTTCTTAAACAGGCTGTTACTGTACCTTTAAGAGACTGATACATGTAAATGACCTCTGTTCTGATTGGCTGTCCTGAATTGCACCTCATTTAAGACCAGGTCAGGCTGAAACACTACTTATAACTTCAGCATGAATGGGCGAGGTTAATCTGCTGTAGGCTGAAGAGGCGAATATATAAATCAGTGGGGTTTTGTGACATCACAAAAACATTGAATTTAAAATGTACTGTTGTTGTAACCTTTCATTCAAGTACTTAATCCTTTTTTTCATAGTAGCCTTTATATTTTGAAGGTCTCTTTTTTTAAAAATGAGAAAATGTTGGTTTTCTATGATTTTGGCCCTTTAATATGATGAGCTTTCAGGCTTTTGAACAGTCATATAAATATGTGGAGTCCTGAAAATGTCAGGCCGTAGGAATACATGCTTATCATTCCGGACCGATGCTGATAGCGACAGTAATGCTTGAGATTTAGTTGAGATTCAAATGTTTTTGTTCCTGAATCTCCCTCACAACAACCATAACAAATTATAGGGAGCCTGTAAACAACAACAACCAGTGCATAGTATTGAGTCATTGTTTTTCATGGTCTTTTTTAAGGGGGAAAATTTCTGCATAATTCAGTCATTGAGAGTTGTTTGATGGTGAAACGGTTCACATTAGAGAAAATTACTGACTCATTTCTTTACAGTGGTGGTGATAGGAACCAGAGGTCATAATATATACAGTGCAAGCATAACCATTTTATTTACTATCCAAAACCACCAGTGGGCCTACATGTGTCTTCTGAGTATTTATATGTAATGTTGATGATGGTAAAGTAGTAGAAAATCTGAAAAAAAAAGGTTTTGCGAACTATTTTGCTTCAGAACCACCTGCATGTATCTCTACACCATAAAAATATGTTTTAGGCCAAAAGCATATCTTAAAACTATGTCTCAGACATGAGGCAGCATATTTGTAATCATTTCATGTAATAAGTTCCTCTGAGGGAGATTTTAGAGCTCCAGACGTCTGGTTACCATCACAACGACTGTGATTTGTTTCTCTAGAGTGGAGCATTTCACATCAAACCACTCTGAAGGACTTTGCTTACATCTTAAGTTTTATTCTATTCTTTGCCCCTCATTTCATTCCATTCAAGTAGTGAATGTTTTTTTTATAGTAGCCATAAATTTTGGAGGTCCCTCAGTTGAAGTATGAGGGGTTTTTGCCCTTCAATAACGTTGATGGAACATAGTTCAATGGAAACGTGTATGATTTACAAAACCGAAGCAAACCGACTTCTAATCTTCACGATGATCACTTTAAAAGTGTTTTTATTGTGTTTCCGTGGGAGCTACTCACCCTGTACACCATGTCCATGTGCTCTTCAGAGCTGCTGAAGTTCTGGGCCAGGTCCGAGATGCAGAGTGAGTCGTGCTGACATGTATGGACCCATTTCTGATATTCACTGGTGCCGGGAATTCTGTCGAAAAAGATCCGGAACGCCTCCCATACCGCCTCCTGGCATACTGTCAGAGTGAGACAAGAAACAGTGAGGTGCTAAAAGTACTTCTAATCACTCATTCTGGTCCTGCCACAGGCCAATGGACACCATCTTTTAAACTCCAGCACAACAAAACCATGTTTCTGAACATGAATTATGGATCGTGCGGTGCTCATACTTCATCCTGATCGTGTTCATTCATTTTATATTCAACTGCCAAGTGACGTTGGATAAACACTGACAAGAAAATGATATATGGAGTGCTTTGTAGCCCATCCTTTCCCCCCAAAAGATGAGCAAATATAATTTCCAGAAGATTCACAGAGAGAACAAGTGATTAATAGGGGTTTTGTTTGCTTATCCACTGTCAAGTTTGCAGATCATTGTTACGCTGTGTAAGTTCACAGCCAAACACAAAATTTCCATGATTTAGACCTGGGGTGGGTAATATGGTGAGGCAATATTGTGATGGATTATGTGGTGCCATTTTATTTCACTCAACAACAGCATCTCTCATAAAGACATATTAAGACCAATTATAAGGAGGCTGTAAACAACAATGACCAGGGTATTTTCCATTATACTCATTGTTTTTCACTGCCTTTCCACTAATTAGCACCTTTTTTATACATACAATGGGATAAGGATCAAAGTGCTTCACAGACAATACGACAATAAAAATTATATAAAATAAGATAATGCAAAAACATAAAATAGGAAAAAATGGTATAATAATAATAATAATAATAATAATATGTAGCAACAAAATATTAAAAAAAAAATAGTAAAAATATATTTTATAACAATGATGTACTGATGTTGCCTGTCTAATCTCAGTTAGTAGGCCGTTCCATTTTTTGGGTGCATAAAAGCAAAAAGCTGCCTCACTGCATCTTTTCTTGTTGGCGTTTGCAACATTAAGCAAGTCTGCAGGCCTGGAACCTAAAGATTTGGGGTATACAGAGACAGACAATCCATAATGCATGATGGTGCTAATCTATTCAATGACCAGCACTATGCCAATCTGATACTATCCAAAATGACTAGTTTTTCTAAGTAATGTTGATGACATTAGTGGTAAATCTGGAAAAAATGTTTTTGATAGGGACTACTGTACCTTTGAATGTCCTGCATGTACCTCTCCATTGCCAAAGCTTCTCTCAAAACTATCATAAAACAGTGTCTCAGACAGCAGGCAGCGCATTAGCAACAATTTTGTGTAATATCTTTCCATAAGGCAGCTTTTAAAGGTTCAGATCAGGTTCAGGTTACCATCAGCGCCACTATGAACATTTTTGACTTACTCTAAAATAAAGCATTTCATGTCAAACCTCCCCCGAAAGACTTTGTTAATGACTGAATTATGTAAAAATATTAGTGGAATTCCCTGTTTCTTGGTGCATTTTGTTCCAAGTTCTGTGCAAAGTTCTTTGCAAATCTCAGACACACTAAATATTGTGATACAAGTCATGGACATGATTATTTATTCTGTGATATAATCATCCACCCTAGGGAGTACCTACTGCCCCAACGGCCCAAAATCTCATTTCATTTTCTCAGAGAAAAACAGAGTGATTCCTCAAAACTGAGCCTTGGGAGAAAGTAAAAAAGCAGAGAGAAAAAGCGTGAGAATGAAAAACAATGGCATCTTTATGTGGGCACCGAAAGCCATTGATCGTGGCTGGCATTGACGTGGTTGTTGGCTCGCTCCTGCGTCTGAGCACTGTTGGATGACAGAGGCACTTCTTCCTCCACCTCCTATGAACATCGCTGAGATAAGAGTTTATTTTCACACTGCGAATATTACAGCTGTGATGTCTCAGCCTCTTTAATTCGCAGAGGAGTTTCATTTGCGGCCCCTCCGAGGCGAACAGGGCACCCTGCAGGTTATATGTCTCAGGAGGGATTGTATCTGCAGTAAAGGCTGTTCTCAAGCATGAGTATGTCCATCCCGCTGTGCCATATATGCTAAAAGTGTGCGTCATGACTGTCCACAAGGTCCAGTAAGCACTGTAATTGTTATGAAACTGGATTCATGCTTTTACTGTAAGTGTGACCCTGATGGGGCCGGTCAATACGTTGGATTTTAGGCCGGCCTCGGGACGGTTTTTCATGTACAATGGGCCCAGTTTAGGTCTGGTTTGCAAGTGTTTTTTAATAAGTCTCTCTCTCTCTCTCTCTCTCTCTCTCTCTCTCTCTCTCTCTCTCTCTCTCTCTCTCTCAGAACGTTGTGGTCTACAGCTGTGGTTGGAATAGCTCTGGGGCTGGTTGCACCAACAGGGCTTATGCCTGGTTGTTCTGGACAAAACTTTCAGACCGTTGCACCAACTGGTCCTAAGCTGAAGAAGACTGGGCATTTTATACTTTCATACCTAGCCAGAAGCAGGTGAAAAGGCAAAATCCAAACCTTTTTTTAGGCTCTTACAATTTCCCTAAACAAGCTAATTCTTTGTTTTTCAACGTAATGCCTAATAGAGACTTTCTCTGCTGCTACTCGAGTCACAACAGCTAACTTCACTAACTCAAAATATATGTGTATCGATAGTACTTGGTTAGCTATCTATGCTACAAAATGTGCGAAAAAAAAGCAGACATATTGCTTCATTCAGAATGAGTTTGGAAAGAGTAGTCAGGTGTCTACAGATACCTTTTTCCACATTTTCTTCCAGGCGTTTGGCAGTCATCTTGTGAGATAAAGCCCTTGCCTTGCCTATTCTATGAGTAGAAGCAGAGTGTTTTCAGCAGACGCAGACTTCCTGAGCTGTGGTTTGCTCAGGAATGAATCAAGAGGGAGAGGGCCACGAACCCCAAAACACATCTTTGGATAGCTTTGGTTCAAAAGTTTGAGAAACGTTACTATCCGCTGTAGTCCTGAACCAGCCAATATGGTTATTACACCTTGGTGTAACTTTGGTTGGTGCAACAGGCGTAAAGTCCTCTCTGAAAAAAGGTCTTAGCTACAACACTTAGCAGTTAAGACTGTTTTGTGAATGTGGATAAATGCCCTCCTGAATGGAACCAAGGAGGAAGTTCAATGGGACATCAGTAACAATGACATGATGGATTGTGAAAGGGATTGGTGGAAGGGTCATCGCAAATCCTTCCCCTTGCTTGTTAAGCTCACCTGAAGTGTGGAACTTGAGTGCAGTGGGACTAACAGTTTATTAGTATAATCACTACAATCAGCAATTCCATAATAAATACCATAATAAATAGATTGTAAATACTGTTTCGGATTCTGATTTCAACTTTAGCAGTACCATTTGAGCCAGGCTGGGTCTCAAAGTCGTGGGCTTCAATTTCATGAACGTGCAGACTCCTACTGTAAGTACAGAGGTCTGATAGTGATGTGCATTCTGTCTAATTTTGCAGTACCCATAAAAAAACGGAAAAAAAGTACTTTGGCTGAAATTAACGTAGGAGTGTAGGCTAAACAGCACAGGTGTTGGGAGTCTAAATAAATTCAGTAGAACTACAATTTAGCTGCACTCAGATGAATACATTTGAAAACATGTTTTATTATTCAAAAATAGCCACTGGAAACTGGTACATTTTTAATGTCAGATGAGTAATGGAAGCTGCGTCTTGAGCTAATGAGCTAAACTCTGACTAACTAGCAAGAGCAGTTAGTTTAGTTTGAAGAAAAGCCGGCCAGAGCTGGTCTCACTGGAGCTGTCCAGGCTATTACTGCATCCTTAAAAGGGAATTCCAAAATTTCTGCTTAATTAAAGTATCAAGATGTAAACTGAGTCGTTCAGAGTGGTTTGATGTGAAATGCTCCATTCTAGATAAACCTCCCGAATCAGAACTGTTCACAGTGGTGGTGATTGGAACCAGATGTCTAAGGAGTTCAGTGACTTAATAGCTACCTCATAGAAAGCTACTATATGAAATGATTACAAGTATTTGCCTGAGGGTTTGTTTTACAATAGTTTTGAGATTGAAGGTTTTGGTCTGAATCGTACTTTTTTTAATTTGTTCATGGTGGAAAGATGCATGCAGGACATTGCAAACAATGAACAATTATTTATATGACAATTAACCCTCAGCTAAAATTTCATGATCGTGGCAGCTCTACCTAAGAGTCGTCTGAACCCTGTGCTTCAATTTCTCATTTTACATCATAACTTCTCTTTCTTTGACATTTTTATAAAATTCTAAAACGTGTTGTTTACTCCATGTTTAATTAAAAATATATATTTTAATAATTAATTTTAAAAAAGTTTATTTTTTTTTAGGATTTTGGACCCCACTGCATCTGTCTGATTGCTGTGAACATTCTCAGACTACATTGTCTTGGGAATACAAGAGGGTGTTCTACTTGAATCTGTTTAACTGCACAAAATAGCCATGTTACATTTTACCCCATGTCCCATTTTAGCCTACCTACATTTTCCACATACACATGATTTTCCTCTGGTCATGAGGGGAAACTCTTACCTCTCAGTTTGTAGTAGGCCTGATGACTGGCTATAACTTCCCTGAGGGTCTCCTGGGGGCACACTTTAACCCCCGAGTGGAAAAAGGCTGACCTCCTGGTGCGATGCCTCTCCAGTTCAAATATGGACCTGATCCTAGATGTCTGCTTGGATGAGCTCAGCAGTTCAACCAGGTGCAGAGAGCCGACAGCTTCTGCTTCTTGGCTCTGTCTGTTTCCTTCTGGAGCAAAGAAGCAGGCATAGATATTTGTCAAACACAAACCAATGGCTACACTGTGCATGTATGAGTAATGGAGAAGCTGGTGCACAGGTAAAGAGCTTGTTAGTATAATGGACGGCCTTGTGCTCAAAAAAGATTGTTCTGCACGTCCACATGCAGGATGGCACATTATTAGCATGTATTATATTTTTTATTACGGCAGTGCACGAGGGGGAAAAATTCACATGGTAAATGCCACAGTGGGTCGCATGGAGAGAGCGAGAGAGAGAGAGAACTCATCCATCAGTCCTTTCACCTCACTGGCAGCAGTAATTATACCCCTAAATGATACGATGTTGCTGCCTCATATTGGCAGTCGCCAAGGAAACAACAAAGATCAGAATCCTGTTTAAACGCCATCCGTACATTTCCATTCAATTCAGACACCTGACAACTCCCAGAAACTGTGCTGAAAGCATGCTGTAAATTGACCTATTTGAATGTCATTTGGTAGACATTTTAACGCTATCTCGAACGGGAGAAATGTCTCTCTTTATTTCTCTTTTTTCATTCCCATCCCCGAGGGGTGAGGCAGCCCACTCAAAACCGCTGTTGTTCTTTCCAAGAAGGCAGCTTTCTGTAAACAAGCCTTGATTGGTTGACAGGTGGCTGAGCCGTCATAGAAATCGCCTCGGACGCTTGATCGATTTGCGGCATTGAATATGTCAGTGGGATCAGAGAAGAGGAGGCAAAGAGGATCCAAGAGAAAAGGACAAGATTGAGAGAGAATGCTGACCGGGTGACCCGTCTGCCGTTGTGACAATGGGCTAAATATCAAGATGGCTGCATTAGGTTAATAGGCAGCCCGCGCGGGGGTCAAGGCCGAAGAAAAATCAATCGCGAGTACCCGACTAGCAATGAGTCAGCGCATAAGGACGGCACTAATACCTGTCAGTCCATCAGCACTACTTGAAAAGATTAACATTTAGACTGCATATACTTAGTAGCTTTGGGGCTTCGTGGTTGTCAAAGGCTAAATCAATTAGCAACGCTCTTTGACTAATTGAAATGGTCCAAAATGACTTTGGAAAAAATCTGGTTATATTGACTTTCATTGCACGTTTGCAGACCTAAATGTTAGTACATTTGGCATATATTATGTACGGTTATATGCAAAAGTTTGAAAGCAAATACGCTTTGCTGATTTTATAAGCAAAAATAAGTTAACACATCCATAGAGAACACAGTTGGCATTTTCCTGCGAATTTTAGAGCACAGTTTCTATTTATTTGCTGAGGAAAAAAAATAAACCTGCACCTGAATCAAGCCAAACACCTAAAGTGGAGGCCAAGAAACCATGTGGACCTGTGTGTACTACTTCACATATATCATCTGAGTTGATGGAAGGTGAATGAGAACAAATACCCGTGGCTAGCACAGCTAGCAAGAGCCCACTTGTACATGCCAGCTATGCCCATGCTGTCAGAAATTCTGTGCCATCCTCAACCAGCTTTGTTCTCAAGTTTATGTAAAGCCCGTTAACGTTACATTAAAATGTTACTCTAAACAATAAAGGCTACAAGTTGCATTAATGTGAATGTTCACGTTCTGTTTAGCTAAGCTAAAGCCTACGTTAATCTGACTCCTGTAGTACTATGTTTACTGTACTTGCTGTGGTTAGGGTTAATATACTGCACTGTTTCAAATAGTAAATGCTGAAAAATCATATTCGACAAAATTCCCATCCCTACTACATTGTTAACAGCTTGTATGGGCAAGTTAAGCAAATGAAATCACAATATGCAATCCACAGGTTTCATTCACTTTTAGCCATGCTAGCATGTTTAGCTGAAGTGGTCCTTTAATCTAATCTTGGGCTCCCTGTTGTGCTATTGGCCAGTGCAGTCGTGGCCTGCCAGGACATTACGCAACACCAGCAGGGCTGTTTTTGGATCTTTAATGTATTCTTGGTACACAGGAGGACAAAGCCATGTTAGACGGGTTAATCGAAGCCTCTGAATGCATGTGGTGTCAATGAATGAGAAGAGACATTCAGTGCATCGCTGTTCTCTAACCTAGCTGAGTTTTTAAGGGATTGCATAAGTTTATGGGTAGATTGAACTTGAAAGGCTAAAGCACTACCACTTCATGCAATCTGTAAAATCAGTTCCCTCAATTGTGATCAAAAGCACTAGTTATAGGCCTACTTTGTTGAACTTACAATTGCAAAACTGTCTAAAGGATCTATTATGAACATCTTTGTCAGATTCTAGGCAATTTTAGAGCATCAAGGCTTCAGATGTCTTTAACAAAACGCAGTAAAAGTGATACTTTAAGATTGAAATAGCAATAGAATAAACCACACATTGACCAAAAGGCAGCTTCCCTTGATGCAGGTTTACTTTGACTTATTTACAGTTTAAATACAAAGACAATTAATAGTAAATTTCTGCAATCTCTTTAAAGACTAATTAGACTTCATGTAAGTACATTGCACAATGCCAGAGTCTTACCTTTGGTAGCTATTACTGGTACAGCAAAGAGGAATAGGCCAAGTAGAAGCCCACATTTCAAAGGCATGGTGCCTTAAGCTGTAGCTCGGATAGGAAAAGCAGGTTGTAAAGTCTTGTCTACCTCAAGTAGATCTCAAGGGATCGGAGCCGGCCATTGGAGCGAGACAGAGACTGGACGTCTGCAAGCGGAGCTTTGAAACTCAATCACATTGGTCTCAATGCCTCAATACAGTAGGTAGTAGGAGGTAGGAATTCCAGGATGTGACAGGTATAGCGAGAGAGGAAGCGATCAAAAAAGCCCACCCGAGGCAGGGGGGGTGCGTACGTGTGGCCGTTCTCGAACAGCCACAAGCCTCAGCGGCGAAGTTAAAAAAGCAGGCTCCGTTTTGGGAATAATCTGTTTATCTGCTGCTCAGACATAATCCCTGCTTTACCCCGTGGACCACGCCCGCGTTATCCTTTTAGTGGCTTTCTCTTTGAGCACCTGTCGGCCACGGCACTGTGACGGCTCTGACAGCTTCTCCTGGCACCCTGACCCACCGGCACTTGGACTTCTACCCTTCCAAAACCCTGGCCCCTGCCCATGGGCTCCAACACCTACCATGCCCATTAATAGACTCGCCTTTAGACTTTATCTTCTTACCACAGTTTTCTGGTTCAGTTTAGGGCCTTACTTTACTGACCACCTATAGCAGCTGAATTTCAAGGCTCTTGTTCTTTAGTGGGCAGAGCCTCAGACGGTTGTTGTGTCTCCTCAGGGGTTTAGGCAGCGTCTTTTTCACTGGAAGCAGTAAAAAGAGGATTGCTCTTAGCGGAGGCGTGCTAGTTTAAGCCTGCTCAGGCAAACCGCTTATGAATCCTTTCAATGAGATATGCGAAATAAGATGTTTATTTGGAATTTGATACAATGAAGTCTGACAGTTTCACATATAGTACATTAGGCATGGAGGAACGCCGAAACAGGGAATTTGCTATGGTCACTTGGTGCCCAAAACCTGTGGCATTACTGGATTTATGTCCACCTTATTTTTCACATGACCAATGTATTTTGAAATAATGGCCAAAATATCTAGTTAGGGAACGGATTGTATCATTCATTACTGTTTTAGCTAAGTCACAGACAATGTGCTTACTTTTTAAATTACCATTTTATGTCTCACTAAATGTCTCTGAAGTGTTTCTGGGAGATTATACAGTTTGTGGCCGTGTTTACAGCTTAGTGAGACTAAAACTATGGTAAGAACAGGACTGTTTTAAACCTAAACCTCTCACAAAAGCACAGAGCAGCTTCAAAGGACATGAGCATGGCTTCACAATCTCTGCTTAAAAAAAATCCCAGTTGTTATTTTTTAAAATCTTTGCCCATAAAATCCAACCAGATTAAGAACTGCCAGTTTAACATCACTGGTTGCTGCTAACAGACTCTCTTTAACTGGTTTACACTTCATATTCTCTACAACTGAATATATTCGGCCTTCACTGGTATAGGATGAGCAAGTTACCAGAAAGCTAACTGGCTAGCATGTTAACACTTAAATAATAAAAGACAAACTTTGACGTCAAGTGTTCACAGAAAGAGTTACTTAAAAACTGAGACATACAAAGTACAGAATATGTCACTCATGCCTGATAAGACAGCTAGAACCAGCAAAAACAGCATATGTTGTGTTTTGATGCTAGTACGATGGTCAACTAGCATGACTATGCTGGGGTTACTAGCTAAACCAGCACCGGACCAGCATTGACCAGCTTGAAACGATTGCTGTTTTTTCAGCAGGGGAGCTGAAATGTCTTTATTTAAATCTAGAGCTGATATCAAAATCCAACATAATGCTGAGCTTACCCCAATATCTTGGTGCTGGCATACCATACAAAGAACATTATAGTATTTTTTTTTAAGTGACTTAACAGATTTTTACATGAAACATTGCTATGTGATGCCACTGCTTTATAGCTGTATTCCTGTACTTGAGAGTGTGAACGAAATAATAATAAAAAAACAATATTACTTCATTAGCATGAGTTATTGATGTAGGCTATAGAATCCTCTGACTAAAGCGTTTCTCCGATCCACTTTAAATGCACCATTTAAGTGGAAAAAGAAAATTTGAATAAGAAGCTGGCTTCGTAGAAAACCTGAAGACTATCGCTAAAAAAGGAGTTGACCATTAATTGTCAAGACTACTGAAATCCACATTTTTGGTGATGGCCAAATTACAAGGAGAAGGAAAATGAAATATCTCAAAAGCACCTCCTGCAAGGCAATGCACTTTCTGTCTTGTTGGGTGGCATTTGGCAGGTTAAATGAACCCACTTTATTAGCCTAAGTTAGCCACACAACATGTTGTTATTGTTCAGAAGTGCAGCATCTGCTGTATAATACTGATGTAAATATCTGTGTGATGATGTTTCGATCCTGGCTATTTGGAGTAATTTGGGGAAATGTATACAAATCCTTTATCCAGTATGAATCGACCAGTCAAATCACGCACTCGTTACATTACCAGACCTCCTCTGGTAAAACTAATCCAGCTTGAATATGGCTTTTAATATACTGAACTCAGAGCTTCCTCCTTCATCCAGTGTTGCTTTTTTATTATTATTGTCATTATTTGGGCACTATTTTTAACATTAAGGCCCACAACCTGTTGTTATTGTTCAGAAGTGTGGCGTCTGTCACATAACGTTGATGTAAATGTCAGCGCAATGATGTTTCAATATGGGCTGTATGGGGTAATTTGGGGACATTACACAGATCCTTTATCCTGTACATATCAGCCAGTCAAATTACTCACAAATTACATTACTGGACCTCCTCTGGTAAAACTAATCCAGCTCCAACAGGCCTTTAGCCATCTGATTTTATTTTGTGCTTTATATGAAAGTAGCCACGTTTACATGCAGCCTGATAATCCGTTAATAATCCGACTAATAGCTCAATCGGAATAGAACACGTCCATGTAAACACCTCAATCGGAATAGACTAGTCCGATTGAGGCCATTCGGAATACAATTTATATCCGATTGAACGAGGTGGGTAAACTTCTAAATAATCCGTTAAATAGAAGAATAATAGCCATGTAAACGCCTGAATCCGATTACATTCCAATCGGAACGTGTAAGTATGTTCTGCGCATGTGCGTCGCGTCATGGCGAAAGTTTATACCGTTCAGCATGGCGGAGCAGAAACGGGTCTGCAGAGGAGACGAAGTTTATGCTCTGAGCTTTAAAAGACGGCGGTGGGACGGACGTCCAGCTTATGAGTCTCAGAACACGACGTCTTCCTCTCGCCGCTTACTTTATAAGGACATGTGAAGCACGTTTTCCTGAGTCTGACATCATTTTAAAGCAATTAAAACACAAGCCCGCCAACTGGAAACTCATTTCACGCGGACTGGACCTCACGTGATGTTCGCTGTCATGGTAACGTTTACTCTAAACGCTACTCCACGCATGCGCGTCATTTTGCATCGGATTACTTGTAGTGAGCATGTAAACGAAGATTTTCCATCAAATCGTTGAATAGAGTGCATATAAACACCTCAGTCTGAATCTGTAATCGGATTGTATTCAATCGGATTGGCAAAAATCTTTGCATGTAAACATAGCCAGTGTTGCTTTTGTGTTAACTTGTGTTCTTTGTTAATATGTGTGGTCTTGCTATAGTTTTGTTTGTTTTGTACCACTGTAGGGTGTTGGATGGCATGATAACTGCACAGCTGTCTGTCAGCAATAAGATTTAACCTCATGTCATGCCATAGAACACAGTGCAGTTAGAAAATATACTGTTTGGCCACTTTAAAAAAAAAAAATATGGTGCACAGTCATGACCACCAACAGCCAGGTTGGGGCCCTTCAAACATTTGTGCCCAGGGCTCTGTAACTTGATGATCCACACCAGATCTTGGGATCACCAGTCACAGATGGTAGAAACTCCTCGAACCCGAATCCTGGTGGTGGGGCTCATGTCTGCATTTACTACTCTGTCTTCAGCAGACAAGACACTTGAAAGCCTGAACGAATCAATCATCTTGATTTTCCGCGATACATTTTTCTTTGTCGTAATCGACAACCTGTCAACCCTGGTAAGCTCAGGCATTTATCTCTATTAAACACTCAATAGTGCCATTTTCATGCAACACCTCTCCAGCACACGTCTCCAGGATGACATTTGATGAAGTGCTTCTGAAGCCCCCCCCCACTTTATCTCGTCTTACGCCTGCTGGCCTATTCTCAAAGGCTGCGTATCATATGGAAATGAATCCTTTATCCTAAAGGATGTGATAAACGAGAATCTTCTTCTAAAAAAATCCTACAGTTTCTGAAATAGCAGAATGGCATTATTTGTTCTTCAAACAGAGAGAGAGAGGTGCTAACAGAGTGTTACGGACAGCGCCGCCGACTAGAAGCTTCGTCTGAATGCCAAATGGCTGTGTCACCAAATGCTAAAGCGCCTGACGTGCCTGTCTCAGAATCCGTGGCTACACTGACGTTGAGGAGAGAGAGAGAATCATCTTGTGTAGTGTTTACTTCTGTGTGAAAACATCGCAGAAGGCTTCCCAGTAAACATTCAGACGTTGAATCAATGTTGAAACCGCATAGATGACAGCTGTTTAATGTACGGCTTTATTAAAGATGAAAATAAAGATGAAAATGAGTGGAAAAGATGTCTAAAAAATTGAAAGTTTGTATTATCGCAGGTATGTATTATCGCACTTCATATGTATCTCACCCAAAATGAACCTGCACAGACTTGGCACCAGGTTCTGGTAATTGTCAAAGTTCATAAATCAAAGCAAAAACACTAGAAGAACTACAGTTAATTCCAACATTCACACAAACGCATATCCATGTGACTTTTAGACAGTTAACATGATCTATGATGTGGATTAAACTCGGATCTAGCCCTTTTAACTACACATATTTACATTATTTTAAAAAATCAAATGGACATTGTGATCTGGCCATGCATTGACTGCACGCAAGATCAAAAATAAACACAATTCTTAATTTTATCTGCAGGAGAGTTCTGTTCTACAACTACCAGCAGAAACACAGAACCCAGTG